AATCCCGATTGTAACGAAATCTCGACAACCATAATCCCGACTGTGTCGAAATCTCGACAACCATAATCCCGACTGTATCAGAATCTCGACAACCATAATCCCGACAAACGTAATCCCGACTATATCAAAATCCCGATTATATCTAAAATTTTTACAATAACATTTTAAAATTATTTCGGAGCGTACTCACCTTGTTATTAATTTATTTGATTTTGTTGAATTATTCATAATAAAACTTAACATTATGAAATAATCTCAAATACAATTAGATTATTAATTGCTATCATTTATTATTAATAACAATTTAAAAGTGACTACGCTCCGGAATAAAAATGTTATTGTAGACATTTTCGATATAGTCGGGATTTTGATACAGTCTGGATTATGGTTGTCGGGATTTCGATACAATCGGCATTTCAAACGTCGTGAATTTGATTGGCGGTATTTCTGTTGCCACCGATTCAATTAGTACATTTTAATTAAAACAAACGAGACATAAAACGCTTGTTTGATAATAAAGCAATAATAATCAGGTGATTATTTAAAAAAATACATAATTATAAAATGACGAAAAGATTAGTTTAAATCCATAAATTAGAAGTTACTTCCAGTTCAACTCAATTTACATTATTAGTATATGTATAATTGATGATAAAACTGAATAAATTAGATTTAAAACTGTGATGATCTTATTGGAAACAACTTTACTCGGTTCTCGCTAAATCCATATAACTTATTTCATAGAACGATTTATTATTTCTGGCAGATAAATGGCAATTTCGTGTGCCAAATGTGTGCCGAAAGAAAAAAATTACAAACGACGCACGATCTTTAAGACCGTCACTAATTACGCGGTTTACCTATATACAATACCTCTCATAAACAATTAATAATATTGACAGTGACGATCATTTACATATTGAAAGTACTTAAACATATTCACATTTACAAAAAAATATGTTAGCTTTACCAATTATACAAGATATTAAAGTATAGTGGAACCTCGCTTAACGAGCAAAATCTGTTCCAAAATTTCCGGATTTTTACTCGTATAGTGAAACAGTTTTCCCCATATAAACATAATGAGTTCCATTTTGCGAGACGTTTTTCTTACAATTCATTTTGCTCGTTATGCGAGGTTCCACTGTATAATATATACAACGAATAACGTTAATAAATTTAGAAAAACAATAGTTTATAAACAAAGAAAATATAACATTTTATTTACGCAAAAACTATAAAATAAGCATGCAACCCATCTTACATATATATTTTAAGCTTGCCTACAGCAGCGTCTTATCCTATTAATATTTATGAATAATTCGTTTAGATGAATCAATTTTACCAAATTTCTATAAAAAAGGATATTATCATGTAATAAAGAAAAAGCTTTAGTCTCCAAGGACCCCAATTTGTAATTCATGGACTAATGAGGGCGCGACATGATTTTAATTAATTAGATTTTTTCGTGAAAAAATAATATTTTTTAATAATGCTAAAAGGACTACTGGATTTACGTTTTAAATCAACTTGTGGGAAAATGCATTTTTCTTAATATTGAATTTATAAATGTAAAATCTTTAGTGAAACTTGGCTCAGTCTATTGTATAAATGGATTTAGAATTCCAGACACAGTTCTTTAACTATAGAAAAAAATAACGAAAGATTTCATTGAATCTGCAAGTATTGTTATCATAAAGCTTTATAACAGACATAGATAACTTTCTACATTAGAATTGGATATAAACATATGAATTTTAAATACTTAAATTTAGATTAAATATTAACTTTTGTATCTAATGTCAGCAAGAAAAAATCATCATGTTTCATTGAAATTTGTAATATAATTTATGTAATCGTATCTACTTTTTCAAAATGATATCTAATACAATTTGTATACAAAACTTATTAAACTATTAAATAAAATATAAATGAAACTATGAGTTAGAAGCATTTTCTGACAATTCTCGAGAATTACAAAATTTCCTCAAAAAAATTGAAAATAACAAACAACGTTATCATTGCTAATCTTGTCGTGGAAAACCATCTTATTATGTTATTAGGAATGCAATTTAGACTCTTAACAATAATAATATTCATTGTGTCGCGATCTACAAACTTTGAGAGAGAAATTTTCTCGCATCGAAGCGAAATAGAGATCCGCAGTCAGCATCTAAAACATAATAATAAATTACTCATCCGTAATGACAGATGATTCTGCAAATGTTCCGGTCGACCGTTCAAATTAATATTCGCTTGATTATCGCGATCATCTGAGCCAGTTTAATTTAGCCGGTCTGCGACAATAGTCTCGGTTACTTCCTTGAAAAAGTGATATTAGTTAAGTTAAAGAAGCGGAGCGCACGAACCAAAAAAAAAATAATAATTTATAACTACTGATGGTATGAGTTATTTCTATTTTTAGCCCGAAATAATAATATTAATTCGAATGTTATGTAAATAACGTTCGATTTTTATCTGAACTGTTGATACGTTTCTCAGCATATGAATGATCTAAGGTCAAATACACATTTATATATTCGATTCGCGAATAATATTGATCCACCTGACACGATACATACGCTCCCTCGGATCTTCTCGAAAATTTTTAATATAAATTTTCCGTGAGTCTACTCGTTATTTTTTTTTAATAAAACGCACGGATCGTCGTGTGCAAAAGTATTATTTTAGGTTTTTATATAACGCGCGCGCGTCTACTCCTTACGTACGTGATTCATTGCCTCCTCGCACTTATGACTGCACAATCATAAATTATATTTATGTAATTGCTATATGGATTTCAAGCTGTCTACCTTTAAACATCCAAAAAGTATCCTTCGAACCGGATTTGAACCAGTGACCTATGGATGTCCATTCCTTATTGCTTTAACAAACTACAGTCCACCGCTCTACCAACTGAGCTATCGAAGGTGTACGAAGACTTCTTTGTTTTTAAAACAGGTAACTGGATGGACTTTCACTGATCCACTTTCCGTTGCATTTTTATTTAATTACTTATACCTTCGATAGCTCAGTTGGTAGAGCGGTGGACTGTAGTTCGAAAAAATACTAGCTAGTAGATATCCATAGGTCACTGGTTCAAATCCGGTTCGAAGGATTCTTTTACATGTTTTATTGATTAATCAAAATTTAATCATATAATGCGTCCAATCATCAAGATCTGATAACGATGAAATTTATGGGATTTTCTTTCATAAATGCAAAACAGCGTTATTAATTAGAATTCCTAACTTAATATACTTAAACTAGGTTTATTAATAACGTAATAACATTTCGTTGAAATTGCAGATTTATTACGTTTTCATTCCTATTTTCATGATGTATTTCTACTCGTAAATTTCAGAAAGACGTTTCAATGGTAACCGTTTGCGAAATTGTTTTTCTCTCTAGGATGTTATTGTTGTACTAATTGTAAAAATAGTGGATATAAAGTTTCGTGTCACTCGGAAAAGTGTTTGTGAGTGAAGGAAGAAATAATTTTGGATGTTTCTCAAAACAGTTCAACAAATAAACTCGTTTAAAATTAGATAATATTTAAACATCTTAAACATGCCTTTATACCAATAATAAATAACATTATTTACGCACAAACTATTATCGTAAATATTTGCGATTTACAACATATTTGGGATCGGCTACGTGTTATTATCGAAATGAGGTTAAATTTATTTGTATATATGTACTTGAATTTATAATTTAAGCACTCGTGTATCCTCAAAAGGATATTATTACGAAAATACACGCTTTCTGCAAATGCAATTTACATGACGACGTTTTTATATGTTATTTTTTTATATTAAAATTTAACTATTATAAATTATCCAAATATGCACTCACAATATTTTAATACAGTTTGCTAAAAATAACCATACACACTTCATTCTTAGATTACGTCAGAGGAATTGGTCATGGTCATCAATTTTTTGTTGTTGATATTACGTAAGACAAACAAAATCATACTTTTATTTGTCATTTGATTATAGGTTTACCTTTCTGACCATATTTGAATACTATATGAAAAATATTAATATTTGAAAGAAATGAAGGAAGGATACATTTTTGTGTTTTCTTAGAAATTTATCCTTAATTCCAGGATTGAAGTTAATTTCTTAAAACTCAATTTCTTGTGTAGTTTTGTAAAAAAAAAAGATGCCTTGGTCACCTTACTCTATACTTCAGTAAAGTAATTACAGAATAATTAATTACCCTATTGGATCTCATGATTGGATTTAACTGTTAATATGTCCAGTATTTTGAAATGATCCAAAATTTATTTAATTTTATTTGTATGAAAGTATTTTCTAATTTATAGTGAAGTCCGATAAATGTGACAAATTGTCAAACATCTGGGACAGATCCAAGAATACGCTGAAACGTCTCTGTTCCAAATACTGATTCATAATTCTAAAACTATGCAAACTTTGTTTGTAATTAAAAAAAAACAAAACAAAAAAAATGATTGATTAAAAACAAAGTTCATCAGGAATGAATGAATTTTAATATAAATTCCCACGCACAACAATTTCAACTTTTTACTATTCATATTATTTTTTTCGATTTGATTCCTGTTACGTTACGTATACGAATTTTCATTCATTATTTTTTTTATTTATTTAAGTTACGTATTTTCGAAAACGCCTACATCTACTAGTGAGTGGGTAGTGATGATTCTATCGTATTATTAAATTCAAATAATAACCAATAATTTAAAATATCCCAAATTTGTATCAATTTCTAAAAGACACCAACGCAATGGAAAATCTAGACTTTTTACAAAAAAAATATATAAATTATGAGTCAATAAAAATTAGTGTAAATTCTTCATATCAAAGAATAAGCAGCACACAATATTTATGAACTAAAGTGAAAATTGTTTTAACTTAATGGATTTTGTTGATTTTTTCTAAATTATCTATTGACACATAACAATAAAATAGATTTTTTTTCCTCAATTATGAGATTTGTCAACTACAGAGGGCTGAAAACCTTATTGGAATGCAGTTGCAAACTATAAAACTTCTTGTCTTTTCACGAATTAGGTAATTACGTTGTGTTATATAGAAATAGCGCTATAAGAGATCCGGCTGTTGCAATTTGTATTAAAAGTACTGAAAATTACATTTGTAAAATACTTTTGAAACATATTCTAACATTTAGTAATTTGTAACAGTTTATGTTAGTGTTAAAAGATTGAAATGAAGATGTACTGCAATTAATTTTCTAATTAGTCACAAAATATGAATATGTTGCTTTTATACAGAAGGCTGAAAACCTTATTGGAATGCAGTTGCAAACTATAAAACCTAATTCTAATTATTTACGTATTCACTTTAATTTCTTGTCTTTTCGCGAATTAGGTAATTACGTTGTGTTATATAGAAATAGCGCTATAAGAGATCCGGCTGTTACAATTTGTATTAAAAGTACTGAAAATTACATTTGTAAAATACTTTTGAAACATATTCTAACATTTAATAATTTGTAACAGTTTATGTTAGTGTTAAAAGATTGAAATGATGATGTACTGCAATTAATTTTCTAATTAGTCAGAAAATATGAATATGTTGCTTATATATCTTCGTTTTTTTTTCAGGATTTTATAACTGCAAGAAACGAAATAGCATTGGACATCGGTCTGGCGAAAAATGCGCCCCCGAACACGAATTGTGCAGGATGCGAGAAGCCACTGCAGACGCAGCTGCCATGCGTTTCCGCCCCAAGAATGGGCAACCTGCTGTGGCATCCGGGCTGCTTCAAGTGCACCACCTGCAGCGACCTGCTTGTCGACCTGGCCTACTGCGTCTACGAAGACAATCTCTACTGCGAACGCCACTACTCGGAAAACCTGAAGCCGAGATGCGCTTCCTGCGACGAGGTAAGCGATCTTTCGAAATGCTGTATGCACGAGACGCACCCTGAAACCACCACCTCTCTCTCTCTCTTTCTCTCTCCTCTCCAAGAGCAGCCTCTTGCACTTCTTGAGCTCGCTCCAGGCCACGAGAATCTATATTTAAAATTTAGGTGGAAGAAAGTGCGTGTGTGCGTATGCATTGGTGGTGTGCAATAACCGAACGGAACCAAACATTTTTCCTTGATTGAGGGCTAAATATATCTGGGTTTTAAGTTTGGACAGCAGCACCGATGCACCAGCATCTTCACGTATCCCTTTCTTTTCCAGTCAAGTGCTCCTCTTCCGCCTAACAGAAACCCGAGCTCAAGAACTAGTAAGTAAGTTAAACTTAAAAATAATAAACACATATAAATGTCCCACTTTGAGTAAGTATCGATAATGTTTTTTTTTGTTTGTTTGTCGGTTCTCTCGTAATATTATTAGATTTTTAAGATTCGCTCATCGCAATTAGTGTCGTGCGGAAAACATTGACAGTTTCGGGTTATTTGGCAAGCGCATGATGAAAATATCCTTGCTGCTGCTCCTTCGTCTCACCGCTTTGAACCCACTTTGTTACATTCATTCTTTTCCACTAATAATTTCCAAATTTCCGTGCTCGATTTTGTGCATAGCGCCCATACACCGTTCGATCTTGCTGGCCACATGTTTTTACGCGACTAAAAATATCTTTTCTCGCCCAGATTTAATACCGCTACTATATTTAGCGTTTAATTCATATTGAACACAAAAGCCATGCAATATTACCGCGAATTGCAAACGTAAAACCATTTCGTATTTACTTCAACTGATGCAATAACAAAAATAAAATGAAACATTACAAAAGCCATTTAATCAAATAGCGTTACGTGAATAAATAAAAGGACGAAGAAAAACACCGATATGTTTAGTATCGGTTTTGGATTCGAACCAAAATATCGCTTATTGAACGGAAGCCAAACTTTTTTTTTTCTGTAATAATTAACACCACGAATCTTGTCAGTCAATGAACACATCGTGATTTTTTCCCCGGCGCCTGGCCCATATTTTTTTTTAAAGAGATTTGCTTCGACTTTTTAATGCCTCATTTAACGCGATATTTAAAGTATCCAACGAACCGTAATTTTTAATGGCAATAAATAAATAATATACATACTTAAAAATGTAATAAAATATCAATGTTTTCTTGAAATTATAAACGCAAAGAACAATAACAATAGTTGCAATAATAATTGTTATTATTGTTATCGATAGTTTAATTAAAGTATTTGAAAAATAAAATGTTTGTAGTTTTTACTACTAATTGATCAATTGTTATCAATAAATAATATGTAAATGCATATGACTACAAAATAAGCATAAACATTGACTGTTGATTAAATAGAATTTATATATGTTGTTGAAAATGATTGATATGAAATTAAATCCTTATAAGAGATTATTGTTGAATTGAAATGATTACGTTGCGTGTTTGGTGGAGGGATGTAAAATAAATTTAAGTGATTTGTGGGTGAGAATGTAGAAATTCGACAGTGCGGGTACGGAAAACCCCAGGTGCAATGAATAACGTCACCGAGGAATGCAACCCGACCCCAATCCTTCTTTGGCTACGCTTGGCACAGGCCGCTCCATAAAACTTTGGGCCTCATCCACATGGCATAGACATTAAACACTCACTCTGGTCCACTATGGAGCCGTGTGCATATCTAACTATTAGCACTCTCCTCCTTTGCGGCTTCATTAAATCAAAGTCCAACGGATTAAACAGAATCAGATCGAAAAATATTTCCACACGCTGGAAGAAAGAAGCGAAAAAAAAAGAAAAAGTGCAATTGAGTTATTACCAAAAAAAGAGCGTATTAGTCACGAGCACCAAAAACGGAATCACTCAAGGCCCACTCGATTTCACAACTTCATTGATACTTTTTGGTTACGCGCGTTCCCCTTTCCGTTGCAACTTCCGTTTTGTTTATTTACACTAGGGTTGAATTCTATATTAATTGCTTAAAAGAAAAAGAAAAACATTGTTTGGCAGGCGCACGGGATTCTTAAAATATAGCTTAAATAAGTACGTATCATCTACGCAAATAGTGTGCCAGACAATGTAATTCCCAAGGAAAGCGTTCGGAATAACAACAATGCCAATAGGAGGATCGTTGATTTATTTATTTTTTATTTATCCATGTTACTCTCTCGCATTTAATATCAAGGGTAACTAATTCCGAATGGTTTTTGAGCCACGTCGTTAGAGAGCGTTCAGTCTGGTGTCTCAACAAGTCAGAGCAAGATGAATTAAAATATTTAGGATCACTTGATTAAGTAACAAAAAACTAATTTAGGGTTCTGGGCCCCGGCCGCTATTGGCAAACATTATTTCTATCAGTTTGTTTGCAAACTCGTTGCGATGTAAACTGTGTCTCTATGTCTGCTGCCTAATTAACACCAACAAAATATTAATGTGCGAAAAGTTGTTGGTATTTCTACTGAGATGGGTTTAATGTTATCAATTATTGTATCGTGCGTCGGAGTGCTTGAGCTGTTCGCTTTCTACACGAATGTCCGCAGAGCTGTGACAGCAGGTGAGGCTCACCCCACCAACGCAAGTGACTTAAGTTGCATCACGGAGAATTACATCAGAGATCTGAACAGGGAGAGGAATAAACTTTTGGAAGAAATTAGACGGTTGGAAAATAGCAAGGAAATTGCGGTCGGCTCCACGGACCGCCGCCGTCACGAGGAACACGTTCCTATTAATACGAATTCGGATTTGGCTCCAATTAAAGAAAAACACGTTTCGCGCATTTTCCCGACCTACACCGAATCTCATCCCATCGTGGTCACGGACGCGAGCGAGCTGTCCATCATTTCGGAACCCTCGACATTTCACAGGGAATCTTCGCCCTTCCCAACCTATGACAGAATCGCACCCAGACACAGTATTTGTTCGGAACTTGTGGAAAATCCGGTGGTTAGCGTACATGAAATCGATGAGGAGGATTACAGGTCACGAACTTCGAGCGCAATGCTTTCAGAGGAATATTTCAAATCAAACTTTGATAGCCCTCAATATTGGCGCAGGAGGTCGCATTCGAGGTCTCATTCGAGATCGCGCTCTCGAACTCCAGAAATACATGACGAGGATTTAGAGAACAAAGAGTATTTGAGTCGATCGCTTACGACATCCTCGAAGGATTTATTGCTGAACGTTCCGAACTTGAAAAGCAGCAAATGCACCGAAGAGACAAAAACTGTTGAGCACATTTCAGTTGCCACTGAATTTGTAGAACAAACACGATTGCGTCGTTCTGAATCACCATTCCAAAAAATCGTCGAACTGCAACCTTCTTCCGAGTCTGAAGTCACGGTTGTCGAGCCCGAGGAAGATAACAAAGATGAATTAGATAAGAACGTGTTGAATTCAGTGGACGGTTTAAAGACCAAACAAATCGAGGAACATCGGAGGCAGTTTAAGAATAAGAAAAAGGGAAAGAAGAATGAAGTTGTCGAGAGAACGCAAGAGGTGGCTGGTCCCAGTAGTAGTGGCAGCAATCCCGAACCATTTTGGGTAAAGCGAATGTAATTTTCCTATTTTTTTTTGCTTATTAACTAAAGAGTTTTTATATATATAAATTCATTTCTCCAATTTGTTATATGATAGAAATAAAGTTTTGCTTTCGTGATGCTTTTAGAGAGTTTACTTCATGTTTTGTATTTGTTGCCACAATTTCTTTTTCTTTTGTTGTTAAATTTTCTCCTCGTATGAGGAGAAAAGAATGCAAATTAGTAGGAGAGTGCGTAGAACATCTATGAAATGTTCTGTTTGAAAGATGTTGATTTGAGGCTAAAAGCATCGTAAACTTCCGAATACTCGGTTTATTTTCGACGCGGTTACATAACAGTATTTTCGGCTCGGCGATCGATGATAATTGCAAAAATCGTAAAGACTTCAAACATATTGCCTGTTTATTATTATTATGTTGAAGCAGAAAAGTTGGTTAAAAATACGTTGCCCATCCATCCAACCATCCATTGTGTAAGATTCAAGAGATTCAAGCGTGTTTGAAGAATCAATATATATGTGTGTGTGTGTGTAGTAAATGTATTATATTTATAAAATCTGCGTGAAAATGGATTGCGTCAAATATCGGATGTATTTAGACACACGCATACATACTAATACTAATACTAACAAAGAGAGAGAGACTTGAGATTTTCTGCGCCCACCTAAGAGAAGAGGGCATATTGCACGCGGCACCACGTTCCAATATCATTCTCTAAAAATACCACGGCCGAAAGAAAACTCCTCGCCAGTTTACCCATCTTAACACAATTCAGTTGCGAACGGACTTTTGTACAGTTTGTGTGATTTCCAACCCGGCGATTCCCAAGTTAAATCAGAAAAAAAAATGGGAGACGTAGAAGCCTACTCTAACTTCACTGTAACCGAAAAGAAGACCAGAAAGGTGAAGAAGACCACCAAGAGGCGCGAAAGCAACGATGCTGGAACCGATGTCACCATCACCGAAATCGAACGCACCACCAACGGAAATCAGGGGTACGTGTTCGCCAAAACACCGGAAAAGGAACCAAATTCGACTTTTTTTGTTATTTATTACTATTTTCACCAAGTGATTTAGTGTTTCCCTTTGTCACCTAGTTACTTTTAACTAGATGATGGCTACTCTTTCAGAAACATTTCAAATACTTTTACAATACCTTTGATTCTCATAACTACTTCAATTATGCAGGAAAACACTTCATCACTATATAATTTTTCATCATGAACACTTTTTAAAATCAGAAGATTCTAGAAAGATACTACAAGACATGGCAACACGTACCCCTAATACTTAAGGTATACAACTGTTACAAAACGAAATCTCTCTCTTCTTTCTCTATCTATCTATCTTTCTATACTACATCATTTCCAAGACTATCGCATTAATCCAAAGCTTAAATTAATCTCAAGTGTTCTCGTTTTGCTCTTAACACATTTACGCTTCAAAGTCTGTTACGCTTTGAATGTTCAAGAAAAATCTTTACACGCCAATGCCGATGATCACCAGTAAAACTGTTCCAATTTACAATTCATAATGTTTCGAGTTAAGATAAAGTTACACCTCAAGAAAAATATTTTGAAAATAAATCCTATATTTAATGTTGTAACATAAATTTCATTTGGAATAAAACACAACCTTGGCTATTGCCATCTATTGATCTCGTTTTCTTCAAACTTTAATAATATTTTTCTTTCATTATTCAAGTTCAAATATTTGCAATTTTAGTTTGCTTTCAAAAATGTAAACGCTACAGAACATTCCAACAACTAAAACGCCAAATCTCGAAGAAGAAAATGACCCACAACTTTCCGGATAAACTCACTATTATGTAATAACATTACTGAAGCTTTACAGTCAGCAATTTAATGCCATCTGCCGCCCCTCATTGAATTATTCAATTGTTTCTAATTAAATCGCTTTATTACAAATTAGAATTTTAAATCAAAAGATGACTTAATAAAGAAGTAATGTGAATACATTTAATTGCAATGCATCGAAACGATTTATTTATATCAAAAGTCATAAAAAAATGGATTGTTGATATTTTCAAGGATTTCATCATTTATCCTAGAAATTAAATTCAGCGAGGAATTTAAATACACAATTTTATCATTAACACGTCTATTTTATTTATAATAAAAAACTTGCTTTTAACGAATTATAAAAATGTTATTGCTTCTTAAGGTTTTGTAAATAATATATATATAAAATGGGTGAGTCATTTGATTATAAAATTTCGCTTTCTTGACTCTGTCTAATGCATTTACGCAACTGAAAAATATTTCTCAAAATCGCCAGGGATATATTTATATATTATTGGACGGACTCCAATGTAGCAACTACACTCTAGAATTGCATAGTTTATATTAGAAATATTGCAAGCAGACGTCGGAGGAAAATGCTTAAATTTAGGACACACTTTGGTATGTATGAAATAGATGCAGGAAAAGCGCTCAACCGAAAATTCCAATAATGACGTAATTCAATGGATAGTATTGAATATCTCTATAAGAAAGATACCGATTACATCTTACAACTCAATATGAAGTGTAAAGTAATCATGGAGTATCCTCTTTCACAAAATTTTAAAATAAATTTATTATTGCAACAAAGTAAAATTTCTGCCCATTTATTATTATTTAAAGAAAATGAGTAAAATTAGTATTTTTCTTTAAAGATTGGAAAATTTATCAGAAATATACTTAACTTTCATGATACCAAAATGAATAAAGTAGAAACTGTAACGGAATGTTTATCTTGTTTATCCAAACACAAGAGAAAGAAAACACTCAAGTGTTTCGTTAGAAAAACCTTTGGCACGTATACCTGAACACGCTGCATCTTCAAAAACAAATAAATATATCTAAAAAAAAAAACGATTTATTTATAATTCCCGACCGCATGAGTAAATAGAAAGAATCGAAGTTGTATAATTTCACTTTCTAAAATCTTTAAAAGAGATAAAAGTTATACTAATTGTTTAATAAATGTGTTTTATTTATTAAACAAGTTTACATTAATCCGCCCGATTGATAACATGATGTTATCGTGTGTATTTTGATTGTTTAATCTTGCAAATCGCAGAGTACCATTCTTTGAACCATGTTTCTAAGATCAGCAATTAAATTGTAATGATGTAATTCCACGTTTCTTCTTAATGAATTGCATTACATCAAATTATTACAATATCTTTGTTGTTGTTATATCTAATACGTGGCATTATTATGAATGGTACTCATTTCCCCTAATTGTCATGCACAGTTTTTTTTTTAACATTGTTCTTTTCGTGCAGCTTATTTTCAGTGGGGAATACACCAAAGCCATGAACAAGGACTGGCACGGACAACACTTCTGCTGCTGGCAATGCGACGAAAGTCTGACAGGACAACGTTACGTCCTCAGGGATGAGCATCCATACTGCGTCTCGTGCTACGAATCCGTTTTCGCCAACGGCTGTGAGAAATGCAACAAAATCATTGGCATTGACTCTAAGGTAAAAGAAAATGAAGAAAATGCTTTCTATTGAATCCTAATCCGTATTTCCCTTTTTTTTTCTTCTTCTATGCAGGATTTGTCATACAAGGATAAGCATTGGCACGAGGCCTGTTTCCTTTGCACTGCGTGCGGTGAATCTCTAGTCGATAAGCAATTCGGTTCCAGATCTGATCGCATTTACTGCGGAAAATGCTACGACGAGAAGTTCGCCTCCAGGTGCGATGGTTGCGGCGAAATCTTCAGGGCTGGTAAGCACAATTTACAATACTATAGCGTATTTCTTTTATGAAAATTTAAATCTTCTATCTGATAAAAACACATAATACTTATTAGATTTTAACACTATTTGACCTGTAGACAGTTTCAAATTTACTCAATATAGTATAGCAAAAAAGGACCATAAAAATTTCATTAGAATCACGTTTTTGTTAATATGAAATAATTATGCATTTAGCCAGCAATCATGAAATAGTAAATTATAAAAGTTTAAAACTGCTATAATTGACCATATATTCAAAATTTTCATTAGTTAGTTTAAACAATGCTATAATTGTCTATTGTCTATCTGAATCAGAATGTATCATCAAGACTTACGTTCAGAATATTAAGCATTTCATTTTAAAATTAATGATTCGTTTTAATCATCATCATTAGATTATAATGAACGTTTTGAATATTAATATTAATTGAAATATTCGTTTCTTTCATGGATTTTCTTAATCGTAAACACAACAGCTGATCGAACGATCGTGCCATCAATTCGATTGAATCTTGCACGAATAATTATGATCATTTGTTGAAGACAATTGGTTTTTTCTTTTGGTTTCGGTCTTAATGATTTTAATTGTTTGAACGGCGAACGAACAACAACAAATATGAGCAGACTTCGTGAATACATTTCCGTACACCGGTTTATTTTGCGCCGCCTTCTGTTAAGTGTTAAACCGAGCGTGTGAAAGGTTTCTATTAGCGCTAGATGACTGCATTTTCCAAAATAAATGATGATGTAAACGCGGAGAGCCACCTTATCAGGACTAGTACATCTATATCTCTCCTTCTCGCTCTGCCACCAATAATAAGCAAGCAAGCAAGCAACAAACGTAAAATAACGCTAAATTCAAATGTCCCTCTGTTACTCCAAGGCGAAGCATATTACTATTTCATTTGTTTGCCGCTTTATTTAGCTCGGAGAATTTGTTCGGATGCACTAATAAGGAGCTGAAAGTTTCTCTAGCCTACATCAACGAGACAGATTTATATTTTTTTTGTTGAATGCTAGGACCATTTTTGATATACTGCGCTGCCAAATGGCCGGACGGACAGAGATTGGCGATTGGTTTTGGTGGGAAATGAACGCTGAAAATGAATATGTCGATAAGATAATTTCAGTATATAGGGGGGCGGGTGATGCGAACAAAAAAAAAAGCAAATGAACGGGAATGGAAGGAAGGAACAAGCACGTATTGATTGGACCCTCCTCGTTCGAACGAGTTCCGTCCTCCATGACCATATTATATGAATATTTTCTCATTTCACTCAATTTCACTCCCCGATGCGTGTAGGTAGTAGTAGAATAGAGTTTAACCTTGCAAGGTATAACATATTATTCCGTTGCCGGCGATTTGGTTGGCACGCAGCCACAGTTCTTCCAAAGACATCGTCTGTAGATGACTGCCGACTCTCGTTTATACAATTTCGCCGCACTCTTTCCCAATTTTTCCACCGTTCACCGAAAGTAAAAGCGTTCTCGCGGCGTGAAGCTCTTGTGTCGTCTTAACTGGATTTTCGAATACATTGAAATGGCCGGTGTTTTAAGTGATCAATTCAAGCGAGGTCTGAACTTGCAAACGAAAACAGTCGGCAAGGAACGCATCCGAAAGGCGCAGGAGAACAACGAAGACATCGCTATCTTATCTATGGATTTGCCGGGCGAGAATAAACCTTTCAAATGCGTTTTGGGTCCAGACTGTCTCTTCGGAGACCAATACTCATTACCGTTAGGTAAACAACACGAGACATTATTTTATTTAATTATATAATGTCATTCAAATATTTTTCACTATTGAAATCAAATTTTAAGCGCTTTTATTCAACATATTTAAATTTCATTAAAAATTTATCTCAAATTTAAACGTTTGCACTAATTTAAAAGTACATTCATAAAACTAAATTCAAAGAAGATAATGTATTCGAACGAAGATTAGTATTATTAAATAGTTTGGGGAAAACTAATATTATAATACTATTTATAATTCAATTTCAATATACATAAATCAGTTTAATCTAAATTTCACATTATTTATTTGTTTTTTTAACATAAAAATCTTCCTTTTCATAAATACATAATTAAAGGTTTTACTTAGTTAAAACAATGATGGACAAATAATGTTACATTAAGAAAAGAGCTGAGAAAATTGAAGAAAATTCATTTATTCGATTGGTCGATTTGAAATAATCATAACCATAAATAGATTAATCTTCTATATACAGTCGAAAAATAACAAGTTCGAAATCCAAAGTGATTATGTTTGAGGCCAAGAACGCGTCACCATAAAACGAAAAGAAAATTAATGTTATATTACTTAATAAGTATATAATTTAATATAATGCGACTGATCATCATAAATTATCCGAAAGTGTGAAGAAAAACTTGTTTTGATCGAGCGTATGCAAATGGGTTTTTTATTTCTTCAATTTTACAAATTCGTTTCCTTCAATTTATAATTAAAACCATGACTCAGCCTCTGCCAATTAACGTATTCTCCTTTTATTGTTTCCATGGCATTTGAATTTGATTATTTATTGAAATGCAAAATGTTCATTTCTTTTTTTCGCAAATTTATGTGGGTCACTTCGATACCATCGATATTAATAATTGACATATTTAGATCAATTTCTCATCTATTGAAATTCAATACGTTTTTCTGCTCATGGAAAATGTGCAGATCATAGTTTATTTTATCATTATTTGTCTGCTTTCTATTGCATTTATTCATTAGGTCGTTTCTATTCCATCTGCGACGTTCTAATGTCAAATATAGAATATATTTATTATGTAAATTTCAATTAAGTTTTGGCGCCGTCCCATCTTTTATTGTTTCCGTCTAAAATTTAACTTTGCGATTATTATATTAAAGAAAATATTGGTATTTGTGATGAAAAAGCCTTATTATTTTCCATGGGTGAAATAGACCTTGGAAACTCGCTCAATTTGCGCTTTATTAGCCGGTAACAAACGGTGCCAGAGCTTTTCCATCCCGGAAAATATTTCCACAACACTGTCGTGACATTCTTTTTATTACGATCCCCCGGGAAACATAAATACTTCTTGGCACAGTAATACGAAAATCGCGTGGGTCGTGAATCCTAACCAGCGAAAGTCTTAACAGAACACAGGTGTCGCGCAGTTTCCCAATTACATTTCCAATGCAAATCGCCAATTATAAATAATAGCTGCATGCATACATCCAAGTTGCTACTGAACACTCAGATATACGAGTAACGAACGAACGATGGAAGAAATAAATATGTTTATTTTTTCTTTCATGAATGCGTAAATATTCCGTTTAATAAAATATAATAATAATAATAATAAGTGGTCGCTGTAACATTGACCCATTTTGCCAGACGTTCACAACTCGAGAGCCCACACGAAAAACCGAATCGTTTTGCCAAATTACTAATGTAATAATCTTGAACTCGATGCGAGCGCATGAATAATAATAATAACAACAACGGCTACGTAATTGAGCCTGCAATTTTATGCCCAAAACGTAGTAAGCCTTCGGCATGACACATGATCTTACTTGAAAGAAAGAAACAAGAGATTTAAATAATTACAACGAGGAGAATAAAAAAAAAACTTTCAAGAGATGCCGTCCTACGCACTAACTTCAAGCATGTTAAAGAAAGAGGATTGCAAAGACAAAGAACGAAAACAGAAACAGCATTATGTTTGTACTTACGTAATCGATTCGCATGTGTGGTATTTATCGATGGTACGAAAATGGCATAAGCCAATTTAATTACGTGTTCCTTTGCAGATGTTATTAAGTATATACTTGCAGATAAACGAAATTCAATCAATATTGTGTTTCTCGTTATTATTTATTTTTGTGTACAATTATGAATCTATATCAATGATAATTAGGAGGTTTATTTCTCAACTTGCTATCAACTAAATACAAAATTTAATATTATGTGATTCTAAACTAGTTAACCCTTTTTTTTACAGTATTATCAAAATATCACCACAATACTTTTCAAATATTTTACAATTTACAATTAATGTTCGAAATTATGTTTTTTAAACTTACTTATTAAGTAATAACAATTATTATACTTATGATCAATACAGTTATTTTTTTACCTATGGTTTTATGAATAAGAATTAATTATTATTCTTATCAATTATTGAAATATTGAAATTAGCATAATACATCTGCAAAACTATTGAATTCATTCTTTTCATGCTACAAATATAGATATTATAAATCCAATAAGAAAAAACAACTTTTTAGATAGATAATTTGACTTAGATTTCAAGGTATTAGATTTTTTTTATTTTGTCCATACTCTGAGTTTTGTTAATTACTATTTATTCACTTTTCAAAATAGTAACAAATTAATCGGAAATATGTTAAATATTTGATTGAATCGAGTAAAATGTAATTGTGTGTTTCAGGTACCAAGAAGATGGAGTACAAGACTAGGCAATGGCACGAGAAGTGCTTCTGCTGCGTGATGTGCAAAACGCCGATCGGCACCCAGAGCTTCATCCCACGCGAACAGGAGATCTACTGCGCCAAGTGTTACGAGGAAAAGTACGCAACTCGTTGCATCAAGTGCAACAAGGTAAAAAAACATCGAATTGCGAAGGAATAAAACACATTCAAATCTCATTGCTGTTGCTGTTGTTGTTCCTCAGGTGATCACCAGCGGTGGCGTGACCTACAAGAACGAGCCATGGCATAGGGAGTGTTTCACTTGCACGAACTGCCAGACAAGTTTGGCAGGCGCTCGCTTCACCAGCCGCGACGATAAGCCCTACTGCGCCGACTGCTTCGGTGAACTCTTCGCCAAACGCTGCTACGCCTGCAGCAGGCCGATCACCGGCATCGGCGGCACCAAGTTCATCTCTTTCGAGGACAGACACTGGCACAACGACTGCTTCTACTGCGCTTCCTGCCGCACCAGCTTAGTCGGAAAGGGTTTCATCACCGACAACACCGACATCATCTGTCCCGAATGCGCCAAGCAAAAACTCAACTAATAGATCTATTTACACAATCGTATAGTATGCTCTCTCGTATTTTCTACACTTCATCTTAAAGATTTTTTTCGTCGCCGAAGAGAGAAGGGCTTCGTAATTACCGTTTCTTTTTATATATATATTATATTAATCTTATTGCCAATAAATACACACACACACACACAACATTTAAAACTATACACACACACGCAAAACGCGCGCAAACACGATACACAGAAATGATACAAAACAACAAAATTTAAAAAAAGAACGCACACTATTTGTACATAACATTTTCTAGAATATTTAATAACCTTTTTAGAAGATATTTAAAATATTTTATATTAAACAAACAAAAAAAAAGTATATAAGAACCTACAGTCATAATTATACAATTAGTACTACAAAAAAAGAGAGCCATAACTCCTGGTGTGTAAAATGCATTTTACAACACTTTGCGAGTCTTTATTTTTGTATTATATAGTATATGAACAATTTCTATCGCGAATGCGCAACCCAAACGGAAAGCCTTAATAATTATTAACTCGCTTCGGATATACCGTAGACATATTCTAAATAATATTTATAACGAGGCCTTATATTATATATATACCATATTTATATAAAGAGAACAAAAAAAAAGCTATATTGTAATTTGAATTGTGAGCAGGAAAGGAAACTAGAGGATAGTTTAAGTCAAACGAAAAGAAAAATGCCAAGAGGGTACATAAATGTAGTATACTTATATATTTATATATAAATCATCTGAATCGATCTATCTACTTTGTATATGCATTACCGACTTTTTTTTTCGTTAAATATTTTATTTTTTTATTTCTTAGTTAGGATATTTATAAAAAGAAAAAATACTGCTTGAAAACAGCATTTATTATTATTGAGCAAGAATTTGGTGCTAAACGAATATAATATTTAGATTATCCGATATTTACCATAAACGCGTAATGGTAAGACAAAAAAAAATATGGAATTTAATATCAAGCAATACGATATTACGTGTATATTGTTATGTATCGTATAAATAATAACTAAAATCATATATTTATAGATATATTTCTTTTGTTAACTATTTAATGTTTTTATTTCTATTGTAATATTTAACTTGTGGAATGTTATGGTTTTTTTGTTACGCTTCAATTTTGAATTAAGAATTATTACATAAATATGATACAGGGCTTTGCTTATTAGGAAAAAAAAACAATGTTAATAATAATTACATTCAAATAAAATTTAGAAAAAAAAAATCTGTGTCGTTTTATCTTTACTCACTTGTTCAATCGTTTCTTCAACATCGACATGTTTTGTTGAATGTTGAACTTTGGTCGTATTGTTATCTTCATGGGTACTTCGTTCAAGTTCGGTTTGTTCTTGAACATGTACGTTCCCATGTTCGGCTTTGCAGGAGCTTTGTGGTTTTGTGGAACCAGGAAGGTGAAATGCGCGTAATTTTCTACCGCTTCCACATGCACCTAACAATATTACTGTTTTATTTATAATTTGTTATATTGGAACATTTTATTTTACCTTCTTTCTGGGATTCATCAATTGATAGTTGCAACCACCTAAGTTTTCTTTGGGTATCTTTAATCCAAATGAATCCTTCTTTGTAATTGGTTTCTCGTTTATTTCAGCCGCAAGCCGTTTATATTCCTATATATATATATTAATTTTGTAAATTTAAGTAATCATATTTTGATCTAGAAAAGTTTCAATCTTAACCTCTTAAGCGGTATAGTTGTGGCTAATGTATATATATATATTATTCATGATGCGAATATAGCCGTCATGAGCACTACGCAACACAAGAGACCATGACGAATATATACGTCCCCTTAAGAGTTAAATATTGCAACAATCCCGGACTTTTGAAGTAATGAGACACTAAATACATGTATAAAAATAATTTAGTGTACTAATTTTTTGAGAATTTAGTTTCTTTTGAAACTGCATTATAATGAATCCGGACTGATTGAAGCTTTATATACTGATTAAGCTTTATATTTAAGTACATATAAGTATAGAAATGTTATATGTTACCTGGTTTGCGGTTGTCTGCAACAATGTTTTTGTTTTCTCGTTGGCGAAATAAATTGCTAACGACATTGTGTCCTTGTCGATCTTATCACCAAGCTTATAGCATTCGGCTTCATTTAAAAGTTTTATAACCATATCTAAAATGATAAAGTTTATATATAAAAAAAGAACTCGTTAATTATACTAATTTTATTAATTACTTTCGACGTAACACTTCAAAGTGTGAACCAGCTTAATCTCACAATCATAATTAAGTTCCTTTAGAATATTCTTAATATCGTTGATTATTGACATCGCAAATGACACTACTAAATAATAACAACATTTGTTGCTATGGTAATAAGCGAAAAGCGCTTACTTGAAAAAGAAAAACCATTTTAATTCGATCATAACTTAAAACAAAACAACAGTTGAATACGAATCTAGTTGGAAATATTTAGAAATATAGTTTCATATAATTTATTAATTTCGAATACATAAAGTAAACAAGTAAAACTTAACAATAAAATATGTATTAATTAATTCTAATTTAAACATGTTTTTCGTGGATAAGTTCATTTTGCCACTGTGAGAAACACGACGAATCACAAATGATTTGAATGTGTAAGCAATCCTTATTGGGATCGTTAACAATTCTATTGCTTCTATTGTTCGCTAACTATTTGTGGCTCATCTCTAAAGTTTCTTGTTAACAGATTTTATTTAATCCAAATCTAAACCAATCGATAAATGTGGGACTTTTGTTATAAATCTGTTGAGAGGAATCTAAATTATTTTAGAAATAATTTGAGACAAAATATATTTATTTACAAATAATAACAATACAATGTTAGTGTGTAAAGTGATAATATAATATTATTAATTTTGTATTAGAATTGCAATTATTTAGGATATAAAACACTTAATGGAAACAATGTGTATACATTATTTAAATTTGTATAAATAAGTTTCTTCATTACCTCTAAAATGAACGGTTTCATCTCAATGAATAACAGATCGGCATTTTCGTTAATAGCCTTTCCCGTCGCTTCTGATAATTCCTTGTTGTTTTTAAACAAGTTGTCGATATTGATATTAAACGTTCCTATGTTCAAATCCAATTTCAAATCTTCCACTTTCATGTACTCTTCACCTTTCTTCGTAAACCTTGACCCAGTGTAGCGCGAATTCATGGTCACTTTCGCTGAAAATGCGGTGAAAATTAATCTTCTAAAAACAATTCCTTTAGAAAACTCTCATACTCATGTTCGCCTTGTAAAATCCGTCGCTGTCGAATTGGATTAGCAATACTTTTCCTTTGGCTTTCCAATCCGCTTCCAAATATATATGCGGTGTTTCCATTACCATATCAAAGTCCAATTTGTCCAGATCGAAATGACCGCTCTTCAATTTACTGTCGGTCGTTCCAAAGATTTTGAAATTATTCAAGTGCGCATCCATACTGAGAGCGGAGCTGTTATCGCCCAACTGAAAATCTAACTTATCCAAGAACACCGGGTTCATCGCCAAAAGGTTCATTTCCGGTATCCCATTGTCCAGATGCTGCAGCACATTCTCGAAACTTCTTTTAACACAATCGAAGAGTTTCGGATCTCCTCGATTACACACCTCCACAAAATCCGCTTAAATACAATTTATTTATATACAATAATCTTATAATATTTCACTTACGTAATTTTCGAATACTGTAACTGGTGTAAACCGAACTGAACAATACTAAAATCGTAAATAGCAAATTCATCTTGGAGGATTTGTGTTTAATGTTTACAACTACATTTTACATTTATATAGGTAAATGATGCCCCACTTCTTCTTTTGAATGAACAACCAGTTTATAGTAAGACCAATTAAACAATTTCAGTAAACAACTCTTTTTTAAATTGACTTTTATTTCGTATGATGGTCGCGTTATTTACATTAAATGAATAACCTTCACAGAGAACACTCACAGTTTTGCTCAGAGGTCTCCCTCAATTACAGAAAAATAAAATAATAATTTAGGTTGCTTTCATAATTATATAATTAACGCTTACGTTCGAATTCCTTATTTTGGGAAGAGAACACGCATCGGAAAAGCGTCAAAAACGTTACTGTTTGCTTCAAAAGCAAACGACTTAACGAACTGTAAAATAACAGGTTTCATTTCCTCGTAAAGCACATCCACATTTTCATTAATCAATTTGTTGGTGGCACGTTGTAAATCCTTATTGCCTCCGAACAATCCCTCGACATCCACGTAAATTTTTTCTATCATTACGTCCATCACGAAATTCTCCAGCTTCATGTGTTCCTCTCCGTCCTTCTCGTAATATTTACCATCCCATTTTGCAGTTACCACGCAATTTGCTGAAATTACGACAACATTAACTAACTAACTTAACTTTAAACATTAACAGTTACTTGTGTTGACTCTAATAACGCCGTTGCTGTTGATTTTAATCATTAAAACGTTTCCATTGCCCTTAAATTCGGAGATCATATAGATTTCGGGAATAAGAAATTCCATCTCGTATATTCCTTTGTCAATATCGAATAGACCATCCCTTAATGTAGAGGCCATGCAACCGTATATTTTAGGATTGATCATATTGATATCCATATTGATGGCACTGTTGTTTCCAAACACCAAATGCGTCTGCTCCACGGTCGCCGGATCTATTGGCCTCAAACCCATCTCTGGAATTCCATTTGCCATACGGCTTAATACATCTGCGAAACTTTCTTGCAGACACTTCAAGAGATTTGGATCATAACGTTTGCAAGTTTTAACAAAATCCGCTGAAATAACAAGAGTAAATATTACAAACAATATTATAAAATAATCTTACGTAGAGTATTTTGTGCCACTACCAACAACGGCAACAATATGAAAATGCTCTGGCTCAACATTTTTTTTTGTAATCAAATTAATTAGTGGTAAAATTTGTAGCCTATTTATACCTGTTTTTTTTCACACTTACTGCAAATTGATCCCATAAATTAAGTAATGCTTTAATTACACCGTTTGTCTTTCATTATGTATCTTAAATAACATATAATCAGTTGTAATTTATTTTCAAGACTGATATAATAATAGTTGAAAAAATATTTTTTTAAGAAAAACAACCACTTTATATTTAATTATATAAATATATAAACACATACTAATTAGTATTAGTTATTATTGTAGATTCATTCAATGGAAACTCTATTTATTTTCATAATCCCGTAGACGAAGGAATTTTTTTATCGGTGTCCGAGATTTAACCAAGAAGAAATTGTCTTTTAATACAATAAATAAGCAAATATTTCTACATTGACAATCTTTACAAGTAATTACGAAAGGACATTTCTTAGCTTATTTACTTTAAACACAATTTCATATTTGCATGAATCCTGCTTAAAAAAAATAGATAAAGAACTTCCTCATTTCAAACCAGTTTTCGTTAACGAATGACAACTGCAAAATGTCTTCAAATTAATCTATGCAATGGAAAAATCAAATCAAATACTAAAAAAACATGAATTTAACAACATAAAAAACATAATAATTCAAAGAATTAGATACAAATTAACCCTTTCCAGTCCAGTGATTCCAATTGGAATCATTACTTTGTAAATATAATTTTGTCTTTCGACGATTAAAACCGTTGAATGCAACTAATGTAATGTAAGATATTTGTTATGATTAAAGAAGTGCTTTTATAAAGATTTGAATAAAATAAAATAAAATTGAAAGAAAAAATGGGGCTGGAAAGAGTTAATAGTAATATTATATATAGATTTGGAATATCTATCAAATAAATAAAGTCTACAGACTAAGAAATAATATTTTTTTTGTTAATAATCTTTTTGGAGAATTGAACTTTGAACTATCAAATTGTAATAAATTTAAAAGAAATGCACAAATGTGAAGATGTTTATTGTTTATTTTAAATATAAATATGTTTCAAGAAGTAATTTGTAAATTACAATTTTCAAATATCGATATTTGTTGACATTTCCATAAAAAAATGTAAATAAATAAATCTAATTGAAATGAAAAATATAAAAAAAAAAGTATTATTTATTTAATTACAGATATGTACATATTATTGAATATGAATTATTCAGGGTGTAAAACATCAAATGGAAAGAGATTGTAAACATTGGTTGCAGCATCATTGAGTATCGTTTTGAGAGTGTCCACGATAACTGGTTTCAGTTCTTCATACAGAGTGTCGATGTTATCATTAATAGCTTTGTTTGTTGTATCACCTAACTCTTTATTATCACCAAACAGGTTCTCAATGTCAATTACGAATTTATCAATTACGCAATCCACGTCGCTGTCTGCCAACTTCCAATATTTTTTATCTTTCTTCTGGTACGAATCGAACTTGTACGAAACCTTGGAATGAACTCCAGCTAAAAAAAACAGATAAAACACATATGGGATTAAAGAAAAATGAAATAACTCGTGATACTTACTCAAGTTTGCACGAAATACACCGTTACTATCGAATTGGAACAGAAGCACTTTTCCGTTAGCTCCAAACTTTGATTCCAAGTAAACGGCTGGTGTGAAAATTTCACCGTTGAAAGTTCCTATATCGAAATCAACTTTAACTGAGGCCAGTTCAGAATCTTGTATTCCGTACAGTTTGACATCATTCAATTGCGCATCCAGATTGACCGATTGTCCATTACCGTTCACAATGCTCAACTTGTCTATGATTACCGGATTGAATGGTCTTATATTCATTTCCGGTATTCCCAGTACACCATGTTGGAACACAATTTTATAAGATTCTTTAATGCATGTCGTTACTTCGGGATCATTGCGATTGCATATTTTTATGTAACTTGCTGAAATTTTAATGATCATTTGATTATTACATACATAAACAATTACAATTTTACTTACGTAACTTTCGAGCCGTTGCGATTATCACAGCGAAGCAAAGGAAGGCGACAAATCTTAAGTGCATGTTTACCATTTGGGAACTGATTCCAAGCAACCGTCGAATTAGCTTTTATGATGTTTGCCTTCCCAATAACCTGTTTTATGTTTATTTCTAAAGTTTTGATCCGCAAAAAAAAAATATCCGCAAAGTAAATTTCCGCTTTTAATGTTTGATTGGTTTTATACTTGTTCCGAATACAACCGCAATTAGAATCTTTGTTAAATCAGGTAGTCTCTGGATTTATATAGCCAACGTGTCATGGTTGGACCCAATACGATGTCAGGGACACGTTTGTAATTGGTAAATAAACACGGCTGAACGACCTCGTGGTTGATAGACATTCTGAAGTAATTCCTCTTTACATAATCAAAACATTTTAAAACATAATATTCAATATTAAATTTAGTATACTATAGTATTAAATAAAGATAACATTAAATTTTTGTTTATAAAAAAAATCAATATATTAAATTTCTTTTCTTATCTCGTTAGTTTATTCATAATTTATTCGCTATGTAGTGTCATGTTTTGATAATTGTAGTGTAGTTTACATGGATTTAATATCTCTGGACATTGTGGATTTACTCGTAGTTATGTAGAATGCTAGAGCAGAAGTTGAAGTTTTTACGATAATAAAGAGTTCCAGTTGCTAAGAACCATAGGTTCTAGATTTGTTACTAGGGTTCTTATGAGTCTAAATATGACTAGGTACTACTAGTGCTGGACTTTTATTTCATAGGAATTAACATAGTGGGAGTACAATATTTGGGAAGGGAATACATGGGCAATTGTATTTAACTTTCCCTGATCATTATGTATGTGGTCGGGGAACCGGGGTAAATTACCCAAAATGGGGTAAAAATGAAAATGAAATTTTTCTAATTTCATCTTACCAAACTCAGAGAGCGGTTCTCTGACTACTTTTCAGATCTTGATGTACAAACTGTGAATTGGGTTGTAGATCCTTTTAAATGTGAAATTAATAACATACCAGAAGAACCTCCAGGTTTGGCAGAGCCAATTCTTGAACTTCCATCCAATACTGTATTCAATTTGAGAACAAAGCAAATCTTGTCGTCTTTTTGGTTGTCAAAGGCTGCAAAGGCTTTCAAAATTGCACATGAGGAGGGGTAAAAAAATTGCTGCCATTTGCAACAACCTACCTTTGTGAATACCTTTGTGAACAAGGCTTTTTCACTGTAATGAACATAAAAACAAAAAAACAGAAATCGATTAAACGCCGAAGACTTTATTCAAATTGCTCTTACATCAAAAAGTCCCAATTTTAAAGTAATTATATCAAACATGAAGCAACATCATGTTTCCAAAACCTGAAAGGGGAAAGTTTTCAATTAATTTTTGTTTGTTCCAATTTAAGAATTTTATTTTGTTTGTCTATTACTATTTGTTACTATTTTCATGTAACTTTTTTTTTTATAAATATGTAAATCCAAATTAATTCAATAAATAATATTTATTTAAAATATACATTGATTGTTTTCTATTCAGAATGGAGAGGGGTAATATGGACTTACGCAATAATATTTTGGGGTAATGGTTAAAAAAGTTCCCCGACCGCTGATTTAGATGGATGTACATATTTGTAGACATTAACGAATTGGCTGGTATGCGTTTTCGAATTTGTATATGACAATAGTCATATTAGTTGTGGAATCTTCTGAAAGTGAAAAAGTACTGAGTAGTTCATACGACAATACAAACAATATTGGATAATAATGGTTGGCCACAAAAGTAGCGCCACTACAGAACTAACGTCATAGCTTAATTTTCAACATGACGGCACCGTCTCAAAAAGACTAGTGGCGCGCTTAGGTAAATACATTTTTCATATTTATTTGAAGATCGTCCGTTCGAGTATTTCGAATTTTAATGCAAACATTTTGGAATTCCTTTATTTGGTTCTTCCTTCCACAGTGTTGACAGCTTTCCTCCACACTTTTTACAAATTTGTAGTTTTTTTGCAATCAGTATGTTAGGGCCAAATAATAGTATATAAATATTAAATATTCCTTTAATTTTAATTGATCCTTTAATTATAAAAATAACAATATTCACAATAAATGAAGCCAAAGAATACTTTAATGAGATAATAATATAGAAATTAATAACTTTACAAATATGTTCATTTTAATGCGTAGAGAATAATTAATTATCAGAATATAAAACAAGAACACTCTATTTACATTATATCGTATTATTTAGGATGTAGTACGTCAAGTGGGAATTTGTCAAAAACATGGGTAACGATATCATTTACAACCGTTTCAATTGTATTGACTATAACCGGTTGCAATTCAATTTGAATGTTTTCGTCAAGAGCTGCTTGCACCGCCTCGCTTAAATCTTTATTATCGGCGAACAACTCTTCCAGATTGATAGCAAAATTGTCAATGATACAATCGAAGTTACTGTTGGCAAGCTTCCAATGCTCTTTACCTTTCTTCTCGTAAGATTCGAAAGTGTATTTCACCTTAGTGCGGACACCAGCTGAAAAGGATGATAATTTAAACACAATAAAAACAATTTTTAGTATTTCAATTCAATTACTCACTCATATTTCCACGGAAAATACCGTTGCCATTAAACTCAAGCAAAAGTATTTTCCCCTTAGCTCCAAAATTAGCTTCCAAGTAAACAGCGGGTGTGAAGATTTCGCAATTGTAAGCACCCGATTCGAAATCAATATCAATCGACTCGAGTGTCGAATCTTTGATTCCGTACAGTTTCACATCAGTCAACTGCGCATCGAGATTTACGCTCCCGCTATTCCCTTCGAGAATACTCAACTTATCCAACAAGATTGGATTGAATGGTCTTATATGCATTTCCGGTATTCCCTTATCGCCGTGACTAAATACAATGCCGAAAGATTCTTTCAAACACGACACGATGTCTGAATTCTTGCGGTCGCAGACTTTAACGTAACTTGCTGCAAAAATAAATTAAAATTTACGTTATCATCAATAGTTATTAACTTACGCAATCCTTTATCCGCTCCATAAGCCGCAGCGGCTAAGCACACTAAAGCAAACAATCTGCAATCCATTGTTATTAGAGACAACTGATTTGATGTCTCCTCTGGACATTACCTTTTATTGGAAATTATTAGCATTCCATAACAACCTGTTTAGTGCTTTTTTTGTCAAATATAGATTGTACATCCAGAAATCTTCTATTTTCAAATAATTAACCTTGACCTTAATAATGAATGGATTCATTTAATTCAAAATTTTAAGCGATTGTAAAAGTCCAAATTTCTAATTAACCAAAAAGCGTTACATTTCGCACACCTCAGTAATTGCCCTAATTGAAATTTAAATGTAATAATAAAAAAGCATATAAAAACCAAAGATTCAGAACATTTACTCATCATTTGTGTATTAACTTCAGTTACGAAATGTTGACTAAAGTGAGCTCTACTTTTATAAATCAAATTTCATTTTTAATTTGTTTCGATTCTTTTTTAGTTAATAGTATTGTTCATATTTTTAAATCATGTGGAATCTGGAAAATATGGAGAACATCAAAATACACCTGGACTTTTTCTGGAAAACAATACAGTAAGTTTATTTAATTTTTTTATTCAGTAATAAAATAAATTTGTTTCTTTCTTATACAGAAATCACATAAAGCAGTTAATAAAGAATATAATAATGAACATAAGAAATTGAGATATCAAACGTTAACTAAAGAACAATTAGAGAGTTATAAAAATAAAGTATCTGAAGAACATGTTTACACCGAGGCTTGGGAAACGGCCAAAAATAATATAAACTATTTGCAAATCCTCAAAGACCTAAATATTCCGAAAGACATGTACGAACCATTCATGATTTGTATCAATAACAACGCTGCAAAACACGAATTACCATCGCCTTATTCTAACGTAATTGGTTCAGGACTTCAGAACACGGAAAATTACAAGGAATATGAAGAAAAACAGTTGAAAAACGAAGACAAGTTCACTATTGCTGATACATATAAAAATAAACAAATTAAGGAAACAGCAACAAATATTTACGTTCCACAATATGGAGAAAATGAAGAAATCGGTTACGAAAATGCGAATAAATTTTATGATTCACAAATCAGACAACGTCAGAGAATTGACAATGCAGAAAACCAAAGATATCAAGATTTTATTGGTAATAACAAATTAAAACATGAAACAACTAATATTCGTCAAGAAGGCGTAAGTAAAGTGAAAATTGATCATCTTAATATAGAAAACGAACGTACTAATGTAAATTTTGCAATTAAACCAAGTAGTAATCAATATTTTTATAATTATGTACCAGACGTAAGTAATGTTAAAGATAGCCAAGAATCTACTCAAGACACTGGAGATACAATTAGTCCTTACAAATTAACTCAATTTAAACAAACTGAGATGAAAGATGTTAAAGATGTTAAAAGCGAATATCCAGAAAGTTATCAATTATATTACAGTTATATATCGCCAATGGATGATCAGTTTGAAGAAACTTTAGAAAATGATAAAAATCCTGAAATTTCAAGAGATGTTAAGATTCAAAAAGAATTTAAAGCAAATCAAAAAGACATTTCAACTCATGTTAAACAACATTCACGAGATCAGTTGAGTAATGAGGAGAAACAAACAATTATGGAAAATGTCGAAGCAGTTGACCCTGTATCGAAAAACAAAAATAATGTATATAAACTTATTAGAGAAATTATAGTTAAACACAAGAATCCACATGGATCTCAAATAAATGAAAATATTAAACATAAATTATCTTCAAATAATTTGGAAATAAATAATAATGATGATGATAAAAACAATAATAATTATAATATAGATATTGTTGAAGGTCCACGTAAACTAGTCTATGAACTTGAAGCAGAAAATTATTCGAAAAATAATCATAAAAATCGAGAAATTAATTACAACCTTGAAAATGCACGTTCACAATATAAAAACAATCCAAGAGATCAATATGAGGAAATTATGAAATCGGAATCACTTGAAAATAACAACAATAATTCCGATAGTGAATCAAACAGTTATGTGTTTTTTTATAGAAATATTGTAGGAGATAAACAAGCTCCAATGGAATACAACAATAAATATCAGACTGAGAAAAAAGAAAGTGATTTATCATTGGACAATGGGAATTACTTTGAAAATGAAGAATATTTGGATGATAATAATACTCCACAACCAAATTTGAACCAAAGTCATGATTATGATCAAGTATCAAAATATGATGAAATAAAGACACATAATTCAAATGCAAAGAATGAGATTAACGCACAATTTGATGAAACTTTATCTTCCAAATATAAGAACAAGAAAAACCAAGAATCTACTAGTCAAAATCATGAATTTGTAATTGATGGTCAATACAATTTTGATCAAAAATCGTCACAAGGAATTAAAGAAAGTAATAATTATTATTTGGAAACGGAATTAGCTGAAAGATTTAAAGTGAAAAAGCCGATAAATGAAATTAATTATAAACAGCAAGAAGTGATTAATAACAAAGTCAAATCAAGTAATTTTAAAGTAAATACTCGAGAAATATTAACAAATTTTACTCCAAATGATTTTATATACGAAGACCGGATTTCTGGTACAAATTACAAACTTGTTACGGATCACAAGTACGAAAATAAATCAACACATCTAATCAATAATGTTGAAACAGTTGAAAATAAAACAACGATCAAATCTTTGAGAGAATTACCAGTAAGATCATATAAAACAGATTTAAATAATCAATATCTGAAACCAAGTTTATTACTGCAAAAGACAATTTTAAAATCTCAACCTTCCACTGATACTTATCAATATATTTATAATTTGAGCCCAAATCCAACAACTTTTGGACAATATAATGAAGAATACAATTTGGATTTAAAATCACATGAAACAGATTTGCTAAATCAAGATACTCTGAAATCGCCTATAACAAATGAAGGACCAGAGTCAAGTTTAGTTGAAAGTTCTAAAATTGAATTATCAGAAATGTATTCACAAGAAAATGAATCAATTAAAAATAATATAATTAGACAAAATCAAAGAAATAACATTAATCGTATGAAGCACCGAAAGCCACTTAATAACAAAGATACTTCTTTGAATAATGACGATATTCAATTACATAATCATTACAATTATGAAGCTGGAGAACAAAATACAGATAATATTAAAGTCGTAGACAATAACGTACCGATTCATCCAAGAAATGTGCAAAGAAGGAGAAAACTTAGGAGAAGAATTAGGTATCAAAGCAAACAGAGCCAAGGTAAAGGTCAACGACAAAATATAACAAAACAAATGATTGAAGGTTCTTCAATTCCGAAGCCTCGATCCACGAGAATTAAGCATACTCAAAATACGGTTAGAGATGCAACAACTGATGATGAAATAAACACATTAGCTGAAGTGACTACAATTAGTACATTATCTGAACAATTTGCTGAATTTGGGAAGAAGTTAGTTCCCAGAGAGAAGTCCCAAACTAAGTACCAACCTGATGAAAATAATAATAAAAGAAATCGTCAACGAATCAGACCAGAAAGAATAATTTCTTATTAAATTGGTTTGAAAGCCAGAATTAAAAGTATAATTATTTACATTTTAATTAATTCTGTATGTAAATATTTATATTATTTTTTGTCAATACAGATTGTTATTATTATAACTAAATTATTTTAATAAATATATAAAATAAAATGTTTTAAAGTAAAAAAAAAACTTTAATTAAATAAATGTATGAACAAATCAATTATTTTGAAACAATCCTAATATTTCCTATAGTTTCATGAATCATATTCAATCTATCCCTGATTTTCGTCAAACGATCCTCATTTTCATTGGAATGAATAACAACATCAGTGTGATCTTCGGTGGGCATTTCAGTTGGTTCTAAAATGCTCTTAACCACGTACTCTATTTGCATAATAACATCATCGGAGACAAACCTAGTGCTATTATCTATCGGATCCTTTCCACTAAAAAATACGTGGTTCGCTCTAAGTTTTTCACTTTTAGGTTTCATCATGGCTAAAGTAATCCTAGCCATTAATTTCATTTTATCCTCCACGATTTCCTTTCTCATAGCTTTATTCGACAACATCTTAAAATCCTTATCCAGTTTAATAATAGATATCGCGACGAGTCTCATAACTAGCATTTTATCATTGGTCATGGTGAAACAATCTGCGTATCTTTTGCAATACTCTTTGGGAGTAACTTTCTCCTCCTCAAACTCATCCGAGTTGTTGTCATCATTGTCGTTGCCGGCTCTCAATCTTAAATTGATATTCTGTCGTTTACACACCTCCCTGTAATAAACAGACTCATCTTTTATATGATCTAATATAGTGTACTGCAGAGAACGATTGGAAAAATAAATTTTTGATTCCTCAAAACCGATTATAATAATCGTGCAGTAGATCGTGGTGAAGAAAACCGAAGTTATCATGAAAATGGAATAAACCAAATATATGGTGGAACCATACGTAGACAATCCTTCGTGGTCAAAATGATCGAAAAAGTTCAGAGAAATCAAGAACAAAGTCGTGATTGTTTGTGGAACAGTCTTGAACAATTCGTAGCTATCTCCAAACATTACATGCAGATATAAAGCAAACATGATATAAATAAAACAATGATAAATCAAGATAATAAATATATCCAAAGCCATTCGTCTTATTGTCCTTTCCATGATTTGAAATACTTTCGCAAAACGAAGAAACTTCCACAAACGTATCGTCGCCAGCGCCAAGAGTGTTGCAGTTATAAAAACATTAGCTCGACCCACCATCACCAGTGGGAAATAATTCACGAAATGATTATTATTCGATGTGCTAAGTTCATTCATAAGCCTCTTTATGATTTTGTGCCGGTAGAAAAACAGCAATATCATGATGACACCTAATATAAATAGAATTATATCGAAAATGTGCCAAAAATCTTTGAAGAATCGTTTCTTCTCTTTCACAAATAACACAATGCTGCGCCCGATCATTATGATAATAGTAATTATAAACAGTAAACAGCAAATAGTTACAATGATTTGTATAAACTTGGTAGCATACAAAAGGCGTACGGTGTAAACCTACAAAAAAAAATCAACTATTAATACTACAACTATTTTTTTTTGTTACATACTTCTTCTGAAGCCACAATGCGTCCAGACAAATCCCTCTCAATTAACACTTGAACCATGTTAAAAATGTTATAGTTTACATTGTACGTCCAAAAATCTATTATCAAAACTTTCGTGTTTATATCGATCCAGTTTGCTCTCTTTAAGTGAGCTATTAGGTAATACGTGTTGTATATTGTTCTTCCCAGATTTTGGACGTAACCAGTTCCGTCGTATAAACCAAGTTTACCTGTAACAGTTAATTTTTCTATCGAATCACAAGATTGATTAACAAATATTACCTAGAGATATTGTGTTGTTTGCGCCATCATCGTATTTCCATAAACGAAACGTGGGATTATCGTTGCTGCATAAAATCGGCAACAGATCCAATGGGGAATATCGTTCGCACACTTGTTTCCTACGTTGTTGCCGCAATTTAACTACACCCAATATCTTTGTATTGAAATCAATCATTTGGCCACCATCCTTCAAGAAGAACTTCCCGTACCAATGAACTGGATGTATATTTTGCACCAAGGTTTTATTCAAATAATCATAAATGCTACGATACGCTCGAAATGAACTTAAATACTGATTCGCTCTATATAACACAACTTACTCTTGAATTGCTTTGATTCTTTTCAACGAAAAATCGTAGTACTCGTTACCATCGAAATGCGAATCCTCGGTAATCTCCACAAGACTACCTTGCATCATATTGTACATCGATTTACTGCTCAAATAATCTAAATCACTGTAACCAGTGAACGACACCACATACAGTATTAACAAGTAAATCAGAAAAATACAAAAATCGTGGAACAATCTCGTCACTTCCCATCGACTGTTTTCCAGCAATGCCATTTTCTGAAAACGCAAACTGCAAACAACAAATTTAAATAAAATAAATATCACACCTTCCACAGATCCAGCTCCCATCGTCGATAATGAGCTTGGAAATACGGCCTTAGCAGAGTTTCACCAAACAATTTAAAGAGAGTTTTACGCTGCATCTCGATTTCCCTCAAAATCCCATTGAAATCATAATAAGTCTTCGTCACCTTTCAAACATAATATAAAAAAAATGTAGCTTGTTTAATCATCGCATGAAATTTACCTTGGAAAATCTGTGCATTAATATATTGTAAACGATCAGATAGATATTTTCAAATATGAAAATACTCATGACAATCGACGAGTAAGTGCTGAATATCCAATAGAAAGCTGTGTTTTTTGTTATGAAATATCCAAATACCAAGAGGTAGGTCATGCACAGTGCAATCCAAGTAATAAGGATACACCACACCAGCTTTGTAATGATAACTGGATATCTTTTATCCACGTTAAAAAACGAATACATGTCAACCCTGTTGTAAGAATTCCTTAAACGCATAAAGCTCAAGTTTAGTTTCGTACAAATATAACATAATTACCTGAAGAAATATACCATTGGTAAATTGATGGTACAAGTGATTAAACTGATGCTGGTAGGAATTAGGATTAAATCAAAATCAAAGTTGAACTCGCCGTGTCCAAAAGAATCGGATGTAGACAACGTTGGTGGGGATAACAAAAACATCCCGAATGTATAAGTTGTCATGATCATTGACAATAGTACTGTGAGTCTCTGCGGATAGGACAGAAAATGATCGTGAGACCTGCGTAAACAAATATATTATTTAAACTTTTGTTTATGATTTACTATGTACTTTGCAAATATATTCCAAGTATGTTCTCCATCCACGTAAAATCGAACTCGCTTATGTAAATTACTTATAGTATTCCTAATTTCCTTAACTTTCGCAGGTACAGTATATTCGATTGATCTCTCGTCTCGCAATGAAAACCACTTATCCACTTGAAAGTTCCATTCCTTGTGTGTTTGCAAATCGATTACAAAAATTTCCTCGCAATACCTGAATATCACAATTAAATAAACGTGATCTCATTATAATCTTATTAAAATAAACCATGTGGGACGAATTCCTACGCCATCGAACCAAATTTGCATGTACTTAATTTCTCCTAAATGTTTTTCGCACGTCAAAACTAACCAGTCTTCGCCACCTCTCTGCAGCAACATTTTATTCGGATCCGGGTAATTCAATACGTGCGCCTAAAAACGAAAATTTTATAAAATGTTTTCATTGATAATTCCAATTGATTAATACTAAAGTAGCGCAGTTTTCAGCGAACAGTTGTATCATAACGTTCGAGGTAGTTCCAGCCGAACTGATGTTACCAGTTTTTACAACCAAAAGATATCCGTATCGGTCATTTTTCAAGTTATCACTTAAAAATATTATTTTATCCTAAAAATAATCAAATAATTTCATTAATTAAATTCACAATATTCATGCAAACCTTATGCACAGACGACTTTGATCTCATGTCAGAGAAGCCAAGAGCAATGCAGTATAAGAAGAAAACAACGGCAACATGAATAAAAATGATGAAGGTTGTGTCTTTCTTTATTTTGAAACTTATCTTTGAAACTGTGCTCAATTTAGTTTTCAAGTTGCTACTCCTTGCACCAAACAGTGAGTTGTGAGTGCAATCGCACTTGATTTTTGTTGCTTCCGGCATCATTGTGATCTAAAACCTCGAACCTGTAAATTATCTATAAACTATTACTATTTACCTTGCAATCAGCATCGATCCAATTATGTACATGTTTATCGTACATCAGACATTCTTGTTTAACAAAACCAACAGTGTATGAAAGTGAAACATTTCCAACGTCACTCTAAAAAAATAAATATGTAAAACCTTAAAATTAAATTAACTTTATATACCTGAATCATCTTTGGATGAGGTAATATTGATAAATATATAAATCTGTCGTACAATTTATTCAGTTTATAAGGGCATTGTATCTGGAAAGTTCGATTATTCTTCCCATCGACGGTGTAATTAAGTTTGCGAAAATCAGCTAAAGTCGTTCGCCTATTGTTCGTGAAAGTTATCTAAAAGAGATGTTAATTTGAATTTAGATGGAAACGATTGCATAATATACCAATAGCGTTTGATCTTCAGGCATACTGAAGAAATCCACGAAACACACACTATCCTTCGGCAAATACATTCTGTGTACATTAAATCCATTGTATTGCATATCTGGATCCTTCCAAGACGATACATTAGATATTGTTGAGAAGCTAAATGTTAACTTCTCGATCTTCAAATCTATCAAAGGAAGTATTATTGAAATGCTGGCTTCCACCGGAGTCATGGTATGTCCATCCATAACAGCCACTTCCACAATTCCTGTTGAAATATTCTGACTGGTCGTGAGGGCGTCCCCAGAATAAGATGCAACCTATAAACATATTATTCAGTAGCTAAAATAGACAATAAATTAATTTCTTACATGTACAGTCAAAGACCTATCTTCAACAGCTTTGGAAACACTGTTAATAGAAACAACAGCCTCTCCAATCTCAATTTTCTTTTTATGAACTAATTTCCCTAATTGATTAAACACGATAATTTTACTATTGTTGTTTGTCTTTTCACGTTCTTCCCCATCTGTTAGTGTTAAACCTGTGACTTTCGACGATTCTAACAGTGTTTCAATTGCATCCTCCTTTACGTCGTTCAGCTGAAAACGACAAAATTATCATGTTGAAGTGAACTTTCTATCATAGATTCTCACTTCTGCATTAACAATACGTTCTTCGTAATTCGCATAGTCTTCTTTCACCGTCGGCTCGCTGACCACTTCAGCCGGATCTGTTACGCCAAAAATAAACTCTTCCTCTTCTGATTCCTCTAAAATCACATCAGCGCATTTCCTCACTTCCCTAAATCAAAACACAAATTACAACATTATAATAATAGTTTAGATGATTATAACTCGTTGATGATTTCTATAGCATCCTCTTTAATGTTAACATAATTGGAAGCCGCAAGATCGGAGTATTGGTTCTTCGCAATCTGCTTGCACATTTTTCCAAGATCCGTGGAAAACATATCATAGTGCTTACTGTGTTGAAAAATTGGCAAAATACTAGCAATTTGTTTGTAGCTGTAAATACTGTCGACAGAAATCTGCAAAAGTATTTGTAAGAAAGAAATAAATTTACCAATTAACAATATGCGTTACTTTATTTAAACTGTTGATGATATTTTTATACGCATTTCCTACAACTTTGTCAGACAGTTTCGAATCTATCATATCCAATATTAAGCTTTGCGCTAATTGTACGGCTCTAGAATAATCGCCTTGCTCGCAATTCTGATCGATATTATCCAGAAAGGCAGAAATTTCCGTTTCCTTAATGTCTTTTGATTCAATCTGAAACGAAAATGTTAATTTAAAAATCTTATTAAATCTTAAAGTCTACTTTAATCTTTGGCAAATCGATTTTGTAATTTGAACCGTCCATATCGGTTCCCACGATCTGTATGAGCTGCAACGGTTGATTCTTTATAGCACCAATAATCAACGAAAATTCGGTATAAGCCGTATCCAAGAGTAAGCTACCTGAATAAAAGTAATCTGATTTTATATAACTACTATTAATAGATAATTTATATATTACTTAAATTATTTTTCTCTTTCACTTGAAACACGCTATATCTGTGCGGATACATCTTAATTTCTTTCGTATCCTTGTGAGTGCAGGTGACTTGAAACACAGTAACAGAGGAGATTCCTTCCCTAGGTTGAATATCGCATGCAGGCGATTTTAGCGCAACCTGCGTTCTCAATTCGTATAAACCCTGATAACGAACTTCCAGATTCGTTCCCATTACGTAATAAACTTTTCCATAGTCCAAGCTATCTTTTGGAATGTAAAGATCTACCAAGTTTTCAGTCTTTAATCCCGAAATCTGCTGCGATTCCTTTCCCTTTATGAAAACCTTAAATTTCGGTGGAATCTCAGCAGGAAATCTCTCACATTTCAGTGTGCAACTAAATCTCAAGTGTGTAAGGACTTTAACATTCGTTAATCTCCTAGACGTTACATCGCAATTCTTTAAACATCTGTGAGAAGTAACTGTTAGTAAATTTAATTTATTTAATATTTGCACTTACTCGAAGATTACTTGCGTTGTCAAGTTATTCACAAAACTGACGATTTGCGTTCGTTTCAAAGTGGTATCTTCATATTTAACATTAGCCGTATATTTTATGGTAGTGTAACAACCCAAGGCAGGTAATTTAATAATCAGTTTAAGACCTGAAATTATGTAATAATCGAAACGCTTACATATCGTAATGTTAAATTTACCTTTGACATCGGTCGGACAATCTGCAAGCTTACACATCTCGGACTTAACGCGATTGCAAACATTAGTAAACATGCTATCAATTGGATGGCGTGTATCAAAATTTTTGCTTTTCGCAATGGTAATCTCGTAATTTTTACTTTCGACATATTTTATGGGACCTTCCGGGAATATGATTATAGGAGGTTCTGTCATAAATTTGAGAGTGCACTACAACAAATCTACAATATTTACAATTAACATAAAATCCTACCTACTATACCTTTTCATTCAAACTTTTCGCTCCTCTTTTTACCTCGACAGATAACGTAAATTTACTAGAATAACTAATCTTGTTTGGTGGTATCATCAGAACTGTCTTTGACTTATAATCATTTGTATAATCTAAAAGATCGTTTGTCTCTGTAAATACACTTACTTAATCAATATACAGTAATATCATAAGATAAGTATTCATTCACCAAGGTCCTGTAATTTCCATGAAATCAATAACTTTTCTTTAGCACATTGTCCCTTAATATCCAATCTTTCGTAATACAGGAAATATGTATATCTGATGTTTTCCTCATCTTTTTTACTGGATTAATAAAAAAAGTAATAATTTTAAGTCAGTTCTTTTTGTACTACAAATTATATATAATCAAGGTGCATGTATATATCACTTGTTTTTATTGCACTTGTTTGTCTACTTTGATTTACTGTTATGTAACAGAAGCATTACGAAAATGGTAATAGAGGAATTGAATGTATATACCATTAATTCCAATGGGAAACATCATTGTTCTATTAACATTTAAGTTATGTAACCGCAATAACATGGCTAGTTCATGCGTCTATTGCTTCTGTTATTATTATGGAAAACCCCTTGAAATTTACGTAATTAATCTTTATTATTTATGAGACATATTCAATCATAAACATTAATTACTAAATCGTTGTTTACAAATAATGTTTAACTATAAATGTTACTTTGTCTTTTTGTCAATAATATAATTAATACCAGTATTTTTTTGTTTAATAAAATGTTTAAATGAATACCAGTTTTCCAATTGTATTTTAAGTTCATTTTTGCATTCCTCTCGTTTCTTTCGAATGATCGGAAAATCTATAACAAGTAGATTTGTAAATTAAATGTGGTTCGTTCTTGATGTCTCACCCATAGAAGTATTTTGCGCGGAAAACTCCGAAGCAGGCAGAAGTAACCAAAAGAAGAAAAACCACATTATCCAGTCACTTAATACAAATCGGAATGACATACATACGTTTTGTTTTAAACGTATTTGTTTTTTTCAAACTTCTATGATCGTAATATATTTAAAACAATATTTATTTAATATAAGTACATAATATAAAACTGGTAACAAATTCAAATATATAAAAGAAAAGAAAACAAACAAATAATATAAATACTTTGTGTTTAGTTTGACTAAATCTAGAAAGGACCTTCAGCGTGAAATCCCTCGTGAGGATGCGAATCGTAATGGACTAATTTTAATTTGCCGTGCGTATCGAAATAGCCGTAATGCCCTTTAACGTAACCATCTTTATCTCGCTGCTCGTACCTAAATTGGCGATTATGCCTAAAAAAATGAATACATAATTTGAGAATTAAATTCTAAATTAAACATAAAACGAGTTAGTGAAAGTTAACGGAAATGATTCGAAAATATTAATGAGTTGTTATGAGTGTAAATGAGTGTTTACCCTTTTCCGGTATCATAGCCCCATTTGTACGATTTTGGGCCATCATGACCGTGTATTTGAAACTCTACACGTTGCCCTTTAGAAGGTTCAGCAAAGTTTAATGAAGATGAAGATGAAGAAGATGCGGATGAAATTGGTTCTTTTACCTCTTTCACCAGCCTCTGATTTTGGGCTTTTTCATAATTGTAATTCTTCTTGTCCTCTGACTTGGGATTGTACAAGATTTCTGAAAGGATATTCGCCGAAGGTTTTTCGGTGTCGTAGTAATAGATGGGATCATTGTTCGGATTCCAAGCGGTTTCGCTGGGTGGTGTTAAGGTCAACGAAATATCTTTCTGCTTGGAAAGAATTTCTTCGTCCTTGGGTTTTGCTAATAAAGGCTTAATTTTTTCTACGACGTCCTTGTTGTATTTTTTTGGATAAACGTTCGTCGCAGTGTTTTCCTCTGTCCCATAATAGAGATTAGGATCTTTGTTTGGATTCCAGGCTTCTGCGTTAGGAGGTGCTAACTCGTCACCATCTTCTCCTTCGTTAGGGATAGGTAGGTAACTATCGAAGACAGGCGGATCCTCCTCTTTGGGCAACTGAAGTTTAGCGGAAAGCACGTATTCCGGTGTTTGAAGATCTTTGGATGGTACACGGTGAGCGAGGGCGGACATGCACACCGCCAATAAAAATAGCTGACAAAAGAAAATATATAATTTTTTAAAGTTTATCTTGCTTTCACTTGAACGGAAAGAAATGAAATGCATTTCTTTCCATTTATTACTGGAGTAAAGTCTACTTTCTCTCTAATTGGTTCAATAGACATACGTATATGAAAATTATGAATCTCTTAAAAAGTGAAATGAAGTTATTACATGTTTAACTTACGGATTTAACAACGATCATTTTAGACTTTGCTACGCGAAGAACTCTTTTGCAGTTTTGGTTTTACTTTCGTCCGCGCTCGACATTTATAGTTTCTTCAGCATTTCTCTCCCCCATTCCAACTCAATACGTCACACTATGATAGACAATCTTTATTGTTCAGAAGAAGCTAACAAATCACGCGGCTTAATTCACCTCCACTCTTTCATTATTATTTTTTTTTTGTATTATTATTATTTTGTTCAAACGATTTGTTGTTGTTGCTGTTTCTTTCTTCTGTTCTGTTGTGATTACATTTAACTTCTGATGATGTGCGCGAGTGCATTGTGTACGAGTAAGGAGTGTGTTTTATTATTTACAATGTCAAGCTAATTACGTAGTCTCTGACCAAACTTCCTCCTTCATACGGCGCAGTTTATTTCCAACTATGTAAGATCATTCATTACATTATGCATTTTCTTTGTGCCCATTAATTAATACAAATAGAGAAAAACTGATTTGGCATTGCCATAAAACATCGTACTTTAAACCGAATGGAAATGCTGTAATCATGCACCTTGTGGATTAAGCCGTATGTTTTTCACTCTTTGTTTCCGAGACCGAAATTAAAAAGTCCGCTTTTCGTTCTAAAAATAACAACGTAATTTCTATGTCTATGACTTTCGCTTTTATCCAAAAGAAATTTGCGGTCGCAGACCATTTACTAAATCAATTCTGCACTATTCATCTGGAATACATTATATCATATGAGTTATTGATACATATCGGATGCTAATTTATTTACTTTCTTCTATTCAAACAACAACAAAACAAATTTATAATAGAGTATTAACCTTTTGATTTCTAGTTGTAAATAATTATATTCATTCAAATGTCATACGCATAAATTGCATAACTATTAAATATATTATAGAATTTTATTAAATTTAGTCCATTTACATAGTAAAACGAAAGAAATAAGATATTAAAATTCAGTCATTCCAATAAAATCATTAATAAATCGATTATTTATTAAAATAATTTCATTCAAATTATTAATAGAAATCTATGATTTAAAATTTCCTGTTTCAAATTGAAACTTCTTTTTTTCTATGTTATAAATATACAAATATATATTCTTTACAGTAGAAAGTGCTAGACATTATTATGTCATTTCGTATCAAATTTAGCGATTTTTTTTTATTTCTAAATTAGTCACTCAAGATATTCCAGATTTGTGGATTATAACTTATGTAAAATCATCTCGGAAGCATACGTTACATCATAGCAAAAAAAAAGGTCATCGCAAATATTTAAATTTGTGTTTAGACCATAACAATTATATAACTTTATAGAATATATTGTATTCAAATTGAAAAAGATGTAACTATTAAATGTTTTCAATGAGTTATTTTGTTGTGTCCAACCACTTTATTATTAATTATCGATATAAATGTTAATAAGTACTATGTGTACTCTGTATCAATAAGAACAATCTTATGGAAAGTTTACACGAACATCAAACAGGCTTATTGCACTTGTAAACATCTGCATAGGACAATAAAACCCTTTTGGAGAAACTCTTCGGTTTCTCATACTTTGCTACAACCCTCGAACACATCACCAAGATATAAGTAGGTTCGTTGGAAAGGTGAGACATTCAGCTTTCATACAAGTGATCTATGATGCAATTGTCTTAATGGGTTGTCGAGCAATTCACGAAAGACTGAAAATCTAACCTAACCAGCCTAACCTAATTTCTGCAGCTCATAGCAGGCGACTCCATGATAGTACGAAGATCTAAGTAGGCTCGTTCGAAAGGTGAGACATTCAGCTTTCATACAAGTGATACATGATGTAATTATCTTAAGGGGTTGTCGAGGAATTCATGAAAGACTGAAAATCTAACCTAACCTAATTTCTGCAGCTCATAGCTGGCGATTCTTACAGTTAGTAAGGAAGGGTTGTTACCAGTTGGGCAGTTAACTATAAAAACTATGCCACCCACAATTAACCTCCACAAACAATTGTAAGATTTGTCACCCTTTGGATCTTACCGACAGCGACTTTGATGTACATGCAGAAAAAAGTTGTTTTTATTTTTTTATTATTGATACAAATATATATTACAAAATATTGCAAAGTAGAATAATATTGATTGCGATATTTCCAAACTATTAAGTAAATTTATAAGTGTAAAATTTAATTAGAATCAAAGGAGAAATGTTGTTTTAATTAAAACTTGAAAATGTTTTTCGACAATAACTAAACTTGTCTTTTAATTAGCAATCATTAATTTTACTATTTACTGTTAACGAAAAAAATAATAATTAGCTATTGTTCTCATTCTGCGCATTTTTCTTTAAATAATTATATATCTGAACATAACATCTACGAAATACGTATATATAAATTTTATAAGCAATTACGCATTTCTCAGTGTGAATTATATTTGTACAAATTCGTACCACACGAAGAACAAAGAATATACGTTTTGAATCAATTCCTCTCGGATATGAAAAAGCAATTAGAAAAAAAGTTAGAAGCTTATTACGGTTTTTAAAGTATCAAAAGAACGCATTTGCCAATGAGTTTAGTCAACTGAAGCAAACGTCCACTTTCTATGAATATGCTCCTTTTTTTTTTACCAAAGTGAAAAACGTTAAAGAATTGTACAAAAACAACAGAATTAAATTCCAGTGTTAAGTAAACAAGTTCATTTACTTCGTTCGATGTGTATTTATGAACTACGTAATAGAATTGAGAGAAAGAAAGAAAAAGTTGATAGTACTTGAGGAAATATATATTTTTTTTAAATCACTAAACTTCCTTATTCAAATATCAAGGATGTTCACGATCGCGATTCAAATTTCAAATGTAATTAGTTTATTATTCAATTATATTTACTATTTTGTTGCTTCTTTTCTTTTCGAGTTTGCAGCTTTGCGTGTAATTACGCAAACAAACATATACTAAAGATTAAGCCAAGGTTAATAACAATAAACGGATACAAGTGTATAATGCAAAAACTATATTTTAAACGATCGAATATAACAAATATCATTTCTTATTTTGGAAAAAGAACGTCGAATGGATAACCATCCATTATGTTCTTTACTGGATTTCTGACGATCGCTTTGATTGCATCAACAATGATCGGCCTCAGTTCGTTATAAAGATCGTGAATGTTTTCATTGATAACTTTGTTTGTGTTATCAGTGAGCGCCTGATCTTTGAACAAATTACTTAAATTAAAGTTTAAAGTTTTAATATCCACTGTTAACTCGGTTATTTCTGTTTTCAAGTATTCTTTTCCATTGTTTTCGATGACTTCCGAATCAAGTTTGGCGACCACATTAACGTCAGCTAGAAAATTATGAAATATTACAAAACGAAAAAAATAAACATAATGTATATTAATAAACTTACTCAAGTTAGTTGTCATTATTCCATTACTATCCAGTTTAATTAACAAAACTTGTCCTGTTCCTTTGTAATCGGCATGGAAATATAAGTCAGGCAGAAAGATATGTAATTCCACGTCCTTTTTGTCGGTGTCGATTAAGACTTTAGTTACTTTTGCGTTGATTACCCCATACACTTTAACATTTGTCAACTGAGCGTCCAAATTTAGAGATGTTCCATTTCCATAATTGATATTTAATTTATCAATTACCACCGGATCTATAGCCCTCAACTTCATCTCTGGGATACCATTTCCTAAACGCGATACGATATCATTGAAGGAATCTTTGAAACATTCGTTTAAAGTAACCGGATCCCATTTGCAGATCTTCACGAAATCAGCTGAAAGATCGAGAAAATCAGACAATATTGAAAATTATATTTTTTATAACTCACGCAGCTTCTTCTCTGCATTTGCAGTGGCGACGATCAGGACCAAATAGATTACTTTAAGCAACATGTTGGATACTTCAATATACTTGCAAAATGCATCCCCTTTATATATAATTCGCTTTATTGGTGGGGACCGTCCGAAACTGGTTTAAGATATCTCAAAATTTGGCAATCTAATGATTGAAAAACAAGTATTTGAAAGCAAGTAGAATTATTTAGAATTTTAATTGCTACTTTAATTGATTCCATTGTATTATATTATTTTGTTAAGCATCTCGATTTCCTTGGAATTCCGTGTCATATTCGTTTTGTTTTTTTGACGTTAACGTTATTTTGTAATGAGTTTTTGTACCAAACGGTTTTCATTTTAAAGTTATCGATAAATTACTAAAAAAATGGGCGACGGCCCCAGTAGAAGAAACACTCCGCGCAAAGTAAGTTATATTAATAATTTTATTTAACTGTATAGTATTAATTATCTATGCACTGACCAGAGTACGTTAAGGACGAGATCACGAAGCATAAAATACACCCACAAGAATCCATACATCAATTTTCTAATCGAATACAAATCTGTAAGTTTTTTCTTTCTTCATACTTTTTTTATTAAAACAATTCATTATCACAACAAAATGTAACATATATTTTATAACGTGTAGCTACCAGAAAATAAATCGAAAAACGTAAGGGAAGTATTCAAATGTGCTGGAAGTAAATGGAAGTTGTTAAGTGATCGCGAAAAGTCCCCTTATGTGAAGGCAGCTTTGGCGATCCGCAATAAATTGAATAGGGATAAGAAACATAGTGAACCAAATAAAAGAGAACCACACGGAAAAGTGAGTACAGCGATAATAGTTATAGAATGGTATTGGATTTGAAAAATGATTTCAGCAACCTATGAATGAACCTTTGATGCCACCGAGAACCAAAGAACAAGCTTGTCCAAAATGCGGAGAGAGACATAGCGGAAAATGCTACAGACGCCGGGATGTGTGGAAATTGAAAAAGACTGAAAGTTCAAATTCGAGTAAAACTAGTGCTGTCTCAGAGGAAACAGGTAATGACATTGTATAAATGCGATTCGTGTGAAAAATATTGATTGTTGTGTTGCAGATAGTGTAACAACACCATCAGGAGTTACAAAGACCAGAACTACATTATTCGATTCCGTTTCGTCAGTAACTACATTTTAATATTTATTTTTGAAACAACAATAGGAATAAATCATTTGTTACCACGGTGTGCATTTATCGATTGGGTTCATTCTACTTCCGTGTGGACATTTGAAGTCTGCAGCAAACATTGGGATGTTTCTCAAAGGTCCGTTAACTCTAAATTTGCTAGGTGCGTGCACGTCCGTCAGAAGCGAGAACTTTAGAGACTCGGGTCTTTCATTTGCGCACCAAATGTTAGCTAATGATAACCAATACATTTGTTTGTCCGTGTAATTCAGTCCGGGTAGTTTCATGTCCGGCCCATACTTTCGCATCCATCTGATGTAACCGATGTACGACGTTTTCGCTCCGCCGAAATCTGCAATGTTTTCATTCACGGTCAGCTCTCCGTTGATCTACAATAAAAACTTATAAAATAATTGGTTTCGTTATATAAATAGATTTTTAACCTTAGAACCATTGATTGTATAACTGCTGTATTGATTTATGATACAATCCTTCTTTTCTTGAAAGATTTGCTCAGCTTCTTTGGACCACCAATTGATCAAATTTCCAGCTTTATCGAACTGATGTCCTAAACCATCGAATCCATGCGATATCTCATGTCCTATAACGCTTCCAATCGCACCGTAATTCACGTACATAGGGAAATGCGAATTGAAGTAATTTCCCTGCAAAATCGCCGCTGGTACGACTTCGGAAAAGTTAAGATTATTACATCATTCTTTATACAATTTAAATTTCAGTATATAATAAATCATCATACAACTCGATACTCTCATAATACGGTTTCCATATAACGAAAATGTGAAAAAGATTGCATTGACAATTTCAATTTGAATAATGTTTTCATAAAACGTGTCATAAATTATGTAATTATGAGTTTCTTATTTCATATTACTCGGTATCGCGTTGACTGTAATTTGCTTTTAAGTTATCTATAATCTCTGTTTTATAAAGCAATAATTACTTATGCTATTTCGATCAATCTTGTAGTATGCGTTTGCCTCTGCAGCGCCCCTTTGTTCTAGCCAAGAGCTTCTATCGACCGGTCTATTCAACATACGAAAATCGAAATCTCTCTGAAATGCCATTTTTTTCAGATTAAGCAGCAAAAAATCGTCAGCATCCTGATCCAGCTATAAAGAAAATGCAAATGTATTATTGAACATTTCCTAACAAAGCATTACCTTTCCAAAAGCGCTATCCAAAATCTCATCATTCATCAATTCATCGGAAAACCCGACATGTTCGTAAACCGCCTCCACCTTCTCAATGGCTTTCATGCGTTCCGTTTCCGGCCAATCGGTTCTCGATAGAATTGTTTTAAACGTACTTTTAATGGATTTGGTCAGAGCTCTTGCTGTATCTCTGGATTTAATATCAAATTTCTTACGAACATATAAAGCGCCAACCAAAATGTTCAACCTAAAAACACACATAAAATAGAATGTAAATGTTAATCTAAAACCAATTTACCCTTGCAAATTTTCAATGCATTCCGTTGATCTGGGTGATTTAGACTCATTGCCTAATATTTTATAATACAGAGTTTGGAGAGAAGATCTAACTGAGGAGTCCAGATATGGAACAACATCGAAAACAGCTCGCCAAAGTAAATAATTTATAATGGTAGTTTTAGGCGTATCCATCAATAATTTTATTAGTTCTTTTGCGTATTTGGGTTCAGTCAAAATAATTTCTGTGTCTTCGTCAATCATCAAATCGATTGGTAGCATAGCCTTCAAGTATCGAAGCCACGGAAATCCGGGAAAGTTTTCATCCAACTGCTTAATCGTAAACAAATTATATAAAGCTGTTATGTTCTCGAATATTTCCGTCGGCGATTTCGTCGCCTGAAAATAAATAAAATGTAATTGCTATTTATATATTCGTGTGTATTTTTCTTATACATTTTGCAATGCAATTTCCAACTGTAAACTGGATTTAAGCTGTTCTTTGTAATCGGGTCCTGCGCCAATTAATTCAACGACATCTTTCATATACGTAAAATAATTATCGACATTTTTATCGCCTATTCCTTTCACCAAAGCATCACGTTTAATCGTCGTTTTTGGAGCTGAAATCTGCAGATCAAATGCTTAATTACAAGATTAATTATTTGTTAGAAATATACCGATAAACTTCGTTTAGTGTTATTCACGTAATCTGTATCCAATGATAAAGTGAAGAAATACTCGGGATAAAAACCGTACTCGTTCAAGGCATAAATTACGTCTTCCCAATTATTCACGTTCTTATTACCAAGCACAGGCCATCCTCCAACATCATCCAAAATCATCTGAATTGTAGTTCTACCGCGTTCATCAATTTTTTCTAAAAAATAAATCTCTCCGCAGTCATTTAAATAATTACTAAAAAAAAGCATCCATGGTTTAAACCTTCATCCATACAATACTTGTAGTATTTTTTTAGATATTTGAAATGCTTCGGGTCTTCATCCGAAATAGGTTCCTCCAAGATCTCCTTCAAGTCCGAATCAGCTTGATGCTTAACTTTGTATAGCTCGTTAATAATATGTTTATCGTCTGGAATAGTGTTATGCCTTGCGTAATTTCCACACGCAAATTCGTAAAAGTCTTCACACGGATCAATACGCTGGTTCATATTCGCCAGATACTCTGCCGCAGTAATTACGCAATCCTTGTGAGTGCATTCCTTGTTGTCCCTAAAGAATTCGAATTCATTCGGTTGGAGGTCATCAAGTGTTGCTGTTTTATTGATTTCTAATTGTTATTAATTAGCATTCTGCAAAAATAATAAGCAACACAAAGAACTCACCAGTGAAATTAATATTATGCACATGTTCTGGCTTCTCCAACAAATTTAAAACTAAAACAAGACAAATTAAACTTTTATAGTTATGACACTTGTATTTTTTTTTCTATTTGTATAAAGAATTATTACACGAATTTAAAAACGCGTACAAGAAACCAGCAGAAACCGCCGCTTTCAGGATGATTACGCTCATGCCGATACAATGCTTATTTGTTCGAGTGTGAAACAAAAGTGTGTGCGAATCCCAGGGAGAAGAGACAATTAAGTTGACGAAATGAAGGATGCAAGATCTTCCTCTCGTAAACTATGTTTTTTTCGTGGAAGGTCAAAGTATGATATTTAAAGTTGAAAATCGAAAATATGCAAAACTTGCAAAAAAAAATGTATATACAAGGACGATGAGACTCCAGAGGCATTCGATAATCGTTTAATTAACGACAACAATTAAGTTTGTTCGTTTACGTAACGTTAATTTAGCAGAAATGCTGCGTAAATCGCAATTATTAAATTTGATGGTTTAAATGCTAACAACATTGTTTATAATCAAATGTCAGTACATGTTGAAATTGAGTGCTGTTCACCAGTAGTAACTTACAATACACACAATAAATATTATAATACAGTGGAACCTCGCTTAACGAGCAAAATGAATTGTATAACGACCGACGTTTCGTATAACGAGTGACGATGAGAAGAGAAGTCCCAGATGCGCGCCTGCTACATCATTTTTAAAACTAGTGTACACATATTTTTGAATATGTTTCACTATACGAGTAAAAATCCGGAAATTTTGGAACAGATTAAACTCGTTAAGCGAGGTTCCACTGTATGTTAAATATAATAAACATTCACTATTTGGTATTTATTATTGTTAAGTGTACAACATGGCATTTCCAAATAACATAATCATCAGTAATCAATAAATCGTTAGTAGTACGACAAAATATTCATTTATATTATTGATCTATTTGATTTATGATTGATATGGTAAAAAAAAGTTATGTAATTATTATAAACATAACTAGTTGGGAATCTACTACTAAATACAGATTATAATAACAAAAAATATTAAAAAAATACAAACCTGTTCCATTCGACAAACTAACACGAACTTATTTTAAACAATGTATTTGTGTATAAAATAACAATAAACGTTACAAAAGCAAAGAATCTAATATTTAGATGATAAATATATTTTCTGTTTCTAACAATATTTAAAGTTAATAATTTTTAATATATTGTGTATAAATGTCTAAAGTCTTCCTGCTATTTGTGTAATTTGTGCCACAGTAAAATTATAATTATAGGTTTTGTTTAAGTTGAAATGACTTTATTAATAGTTGTAACAGTTTAATAAAATCTTTGAATCTTTTCAGTTTTCTCTTAGAACAGGATTCGGCATTTTTAACATATTATTATTTTGTCTTCATTTTCAATTTTACTTTAGAGCCACGTGTAAGTATCAAGGATGCGAAAAAGGCTCGCGAGTCGCACTTTGCCAACCACTTTGTCTTAGGATGTTGTGCATTTATTTCAATGGAAACTTCATTATAATACTCTTTAGCTGCAAAACAACAAAAGTTGACAAAAGTATCATTTTCTGCTATGAAGAGAAAATACAGTGGAATCTTGCTTAACGAGTATCTTGCATAAGGAGCATTTCGCAAAATGAATTGTAAGAAAAATGACTCGCTTAACGAGCGATGTTTCGGATATCGAGTGACGATGAGAAGTCCCAGATGCGCACCTGCTACATCATTTTTAAAACTTGTATGTGTATTTTTAAATATGTTTCACTATACGAGTAAAGATCCTGAAATTTTGGAACGAATTAAACTCGTTAAGCGAGGTAACACTGTAATCAATTACGATGGTACTGAAGTATGCAACCACATATCGCTTTGTTGAAAAACTATTTGCATATACACCATTGCGTTTGTTCAAGTTTGGTTGCCACTCAATAACATTCAATAAATTGGTGGTCTGGTGCTTGCTGCGAACGTCAGCATCAGCTGGCATCAATTTAACATTATAATTTGTTCAATGTATTGTTTAAATGAGTAAATATGAGTTCTGAATTAGATTTGTCTGGTATTGATTTAATTGATAGCAAAGAAGGTATTCTAAATTTAGTGATTAAAAACAAATTAGATTGTCCCTATGATGGTTGCAATGCTTCATTTTCAAAACAAAACAAGTTAACGTACCACATAAGAAGACATAATGGAGAGGTATAATTCTAATACAGAATTACTATTTTCTTAATTACTTTTTCTTTTGTAGAGGCCATACCTATGCACTGCATTTGGCTGCGGGAAATCATACACCAATTCTACACATTTACTCAGACACTGCAGAGACGTTCACAATCCTAATAAACCAAAAGAAACCTTTCCATGTAGCCATGAGGGCTGCACAAAGCAGTTTGCAAATAAATATTCCTTAAAGGTTCATATACGTCGTTTCCATGAGTACAGAGAGTATCCTTTCAAATGTGAAATATGTGATCAAGCATTCTTCAAAGATATTCAATTGCAAAATCATTCTTTCATCCACTCAGGTGTATTGCCTTTTAAATGTGAGATATGCGGCCGAAGATTTGCTACAAACAAAAAATGTAAACAGCACAAAAGTTACCACAGTATTTACTCATGTGACTGTGGTGAAACACTATATCTTTGGCCGGATTTGGTGGCACATCGAAAAATCTGTATTCTAACTATGAAAGGTAACTTGTTGTTGTATTATTGGATAAACAATTATTTCTATGCTGCTTCCAGAATTCATATGTGACATCTGCAAAAAAACGTTTTCTTCTCAAACCAATTTAAACTCGCACCAAGCGACACACAAAGAGATGGCAGAGAGAAAAATATATGCTTGTGAATATGAAGGATGCGAAAGGATTTATTTCTACAAAAATAATTTAAACCATCATGTCACCACATTCCATGAAAAGAAGAAAAAGAAAATCCCATGTCCTGTAGAGGGTTGCAATGCTCAACTTTCTAAAATGGTAATTTATTAAAGTGATTTCATTCATCAAATTATTTTTTTTCCTTGTTTTTTTAGCAAAGTCTTAACTATCATTTGATGTTGCACAAAACTGGCAGGAAGGTAAAAACTGGCAATGGCAACAAAAAGTATTTAAATATTGAGTCTACTGTAAATGAAAGTTTAGTAGATCAAGACCTTGACTATTCTAATGAATCTATAATCAATTCAGAATCAAATAAATCTAGAGAAAGTGATGGGATTAAAGATAATCAGACTAACATAGCGACGCACGAGAAATTTAATAACATCTTGCAGTGTAGAATAAAACAAGAAATTGATTCGGAACCAGAAGAGTATTTTAAACATAGTGAATTTATATATGAAGAAAAAGAACAAGTGGAACATGATGTTTTACAAACGAATAGAACTTTTGAATTTTGCACGGTGAAACAAGAAGTTGATGATTATGCTGAGCAAATCGTCGATGGAACTGGAGATTATTATGATTGCAATGAAATTCTGAATATAAAACAGGAGGTGGAAGACAGTTATTTAGATGTACACATAAAAAAAGAGATTGAGACAGATTACGGGATTTCAGGGAATAAACAAGTAAACGCCAGCAATGAATATGGTGAATTACTGAATTTAAAGAAAGAAGTAACTGATGAGTTTGATTTACAAATAAAGAAAGAAATACATGCAAATTATGAAATTTGTAAGGAATATAATGAATAAATAATTTGTTCATTTAGTCTGCTTCTATTGTATAATATGTTTCATAAGATTATTCGAAAATCAAAAGTTTAGCTAGTAATAACTCAGGTAATTGGATTGGTTGGTGAGAGGTCTCTTATGAATTAACGAATACATGTTAAAATATTAAATAATTCATTTCACTGCAATGATTTAAGTAGATCTTTAATCTTGTTACAATGAAATTCGTTTCACAGCTATTTGCAGTAGAAGATTGCCAGTTTTATCTTATTAAGCGAAATTTGGTTTGGTAAGAAACCAATGCAGTGCAAATAATCAGCAGCTACAATATACTTGTTAATTGTTTAATGTCATGATTCATAATTGCAGTCGCATAGAATTTATAGATATATAAATAACATTTATTAAACCAATTTTATACATAATTGACTGTAATTTACGTAGGAGACATTCTATTAACAATAATAGTAATTCCCGGCCTCTAAGTAATACTAATAAATTTATATTTTCTACTTGTATTAATAACAATACAACATATTTACATAATTAAAAGCGAAGAACAATACTTGTAAAGTGATGTAGCAAACCTTGTTTTTCAAGCAGTTATATTTGTATCCTAAATAAATAAAAGTGCTAAAAATCAATATTTATCTAATTATTAGACATTCATAAAACCCTGTAGTGGATATTTACTATTATTCCTTATAAAAATTGAATGCAAGCAAACAAATATACTTATAGCAGTGAAGATTAGTTTTCTTAACACAAAATTTCATTTAATCACAGCCTTTACTTATTAATATTTGTTTTATGTATTATTTACTAAATCACATATATACATTTTATAATATTAGACTCTCGATAAAATTCAAACTTCAGGTGTTGTGTGATATTTTCAGAATAGACAAAGAACAACACGATGCGCATCCACCTTTGGTTGCCATTGGTCACGTATCAAAACATGTTCAAACTAGTGTAAAAACCATCGTGATAGTCATTTTGAGCACATTATACAGATATTCTGGTAAATCTGAATAATAAAAGTAATCTAATGAACTGTTATTATCACTTTTAAATATGGACAGTGCATCTAGTGATAACGTTGATGAAAGCGAAACTGATTCTAGTGTTGATAAACCACGACGAGCGAAATTGGTGTGTCCACGTGAGGGTTGTAATGCCTCATTCAGCAAACCCAACAAATTAACTTACCACATCAGGAAGCACAATGGAGAGGTTCGTATTATTTTGCTAATAGCTGTTATTAAATAATTTTAAAGGTTAACTTTTTAGAGACCCTTTGTATGTCCTGAGGAAGGTTGTGACAAATCATACACAAACTCAACACATTTACTCAGACACAAAAGAGTTTCCCACTCCAAAGGTAAACCACAAGAAAGATTTCCGTGTACGCATGATGGTTGCCTCAAGGAATTCGCAAACAAATATTCTTTGAAAGTGCATATTGGACGGTTTCACAAGGATAGGGAATATCCATTCAAATGCACACATTGCAATCAGGGCTTCTTCAGGAAAGGACAATTACAAAAACACATGTATATACATACAGGTGTTTTACCATTCGAATGTGACATTTGCAACAAGAGGTTTTCAACAAATTTGGATTGTTCAAGACATAAAAGTCATCATAATGTCTATGATTGTGAGTGCGGCGAAACATTCAATTTTTGGACACTGTTACTTGCTCATAGGAAAATTTGCACCATAAACAATTCAAAAAAAGGTAAACATTCCTATATACACAACATATGTATATTAATAACAATTTCTTTTAGAATTCCCATGTGATACGTGTGGTAAGATATTTTCGAGTTCAGCGATAATGAATAGGCACAAAAAGGTGCATCTGGATAAAAAGGAAAGAGACATATACCCTTGTGTATTCGAGGGTTGTAAAAGATATTATTTCTATAAGAATAATTTGCAGTATCATATCACTACATTTCATGAAAACAAGAAAAAGAAGATTCCTTGCCCAATAGAAGGATGCAAAGTTACACTCTCCAAAATGGTAAATACTTCTATTTTAATCAATTGAAAAAAAAATTAGTAAATGTAATCTTTTTAGCAAAATGTTCACAAGCATGTGTATAATCACAAAAATAAAAAACCAAAGAAAACGAATAGAAATCGAAGAAAGGACGCTGGAAGCATTAAGCACAGTACAGCTCTCAAATTAGCTGGTATAAAGTTACCATATTCAGCAAATATGCATCTCCTCAGAGGGGAACAGTTGAATATAAAAAATACTAAAAGAAAAAATACAACACAAGCTGATGATGATGATGAAGCAGATAGTGAGTCAGATGATGAATATGATGAATTGATGAAGGAAATCAACGAAGGCGCTGAAAATCAATCAAGTGATGATGATAATAATATGGACACTGACAATGAGCTGGAGTCTGACGAAAGTGACGATAACGTTATAGAAGTGATCTGCAATATTAAGGAAACTAATCCAGATATATTAGTTGCCCAACAGTCTTGATTTATATTCAGGTTGTTTTTGAAATAAAGTCACAAGCAAAAAAAAAACTGTTTTAATTTAATTTTGTATGCAAATAAACTGTTGTAATTGTCTAATCTTGTTGCAAATAGCTATAACAAAAAAAATCCTAAGGATTGATTTGTATTTTTCTAATTAAATTATTTGAAATTCATGATTCAACATCAATTTATTTTGTCTTAAACTAACAATATTGTTTTGAAACTTTTTGTATTTGTAGAAAATTGAAGCTACGAAAACAAAACTTATATATTTAGGTTCAGAAATCTTTTTAACTGTATTTTCCATAGTAAACAAACTATTAACTACTTTTTTGTAGTGTGTTATACTTAAACAAGTACAGTGGAACCTCGGTTAACGAACAAAATGAATTGTAAGAAAAGTGACTCGCTTAACGAGGCGACGTTTCGCATAACGAGTGACGATGAGAATGGAAGTCTCGGATGCGCGCCTTCTACATCATTTTTAAACTTGTGTATTTTTGAATATGTTTCACGATACGAGTGAAAATCTGGATATTTTGGAACGGATTAAACTCGTCCACTGTACTTTATATATAATTGTCTATATACAAAAGTTTATATGGAAGTTACTAAAACTAACTACGACCCTTATTATTTGTTAGTTCGTTGAGTTTCGAAGTAGATATCTTTGAATTTGTATTGTATAACTTTGGGTAATAGTGGTAACCTTGGATGAAATGTTGGAAAACTTTTCCACTGGCTTTCGCGGAAACCATGAGGAAACAGATGAGCATAATATGGAAATGATTGAGTGGAGGGAAATGTACTCGGTTAAAATCGTGAACTGCGCCAAAAGTGAACCGCCGACCTGCGCCGACCATTTCAAAAATGTTCCAGCAAAAAACAGATGTACAAATCACTTGTTGGCTTTTCTACATGAGGAAATTGCTCGTAGCAAATCGCAATAGAAGTGAAAGTGTTTCTCCTCATTTGTTTGATATAACCTTTAGTAACAGGCGATTCTGCCTGCCTATAACCACGCGCGCTCCCGTCCTGACGAACTGCTGAAAACCGAAGCCAGAGCTCAAAACAAAATATAGACTCAAGCTCAACGTGCGGAACATGAAAGACGCCATCAATTTTTTGATTCCGATCGTCCAAGACCCATTGAACGACATCACCACCGGTCGCTGCGTCTCGCATCACGTTTCTATGAACGGTTACTATGGATATCAACCGGTTGCTGTTGGTAAAGAAGAGGATTTTAGGCGACCGCCTCAACAGAACCAGACCAACAATTCGCTCGAAAGGATGGAAACCAACTGTGATATGGACATCCAGTTCAACAACTGCATGGAGCCCGAGGAAGATGATAGCAATGCCAAGAGAGAACCGGCGAAACAAGAACCCTTCAAAAGTAGCACCAGGAAAAGGACGCTGATCGATGTTGACAATTGCTCGAGCTGCAAAAAAAGGCGGCAAAACGGTGAGTTCGATTTTCTAACCAATAAATCTTTTCACTTGGCAACATGAAGATGTCGCAAGCGAAAGACGATGATAATTAGTTGATTAATTCTCTCAATCTTAATTGGCTTCACGCTAATTTGCCATATTGTAATCGCGGAAAATTTAAAACCGTAAACACATGCAGATATCAGACAAGAAACGTGTTTTTGTTTATAAACTCACGACCTCCTTATTTACTTAATTCGTTGTCTAATAATTTTAAACACGAATTTGCTCATCCACACTAAATACTTAAACAGTTTCCTTATCTTTCAATAGTTTCAATGAAATGATTCACCTAAAGTAAAATTAGATATGTTATTCTACAAGACTATATTTTTTGTATATTTATTTATCATTATGTTACCAGATTATACAATCATGGTCAGTGTGTTTACACATCTTTAATTTTGTTATAAATGTTGTTGGTAAACATTGCAATAAATTAAAGATAACATTTTAATATTCCAAAATATTTCCACAAGTATTTTATTTTATAATAATAATTATGTGGCTTCTATTCTTATTTTCATAGTTCAGATATTTAATAATTACGTAAATGAATTATTATATTTAGTTATATGTAGTTTTACTAATCTCCTGTAACAAAATCAGGTGGCGAAGTTGGGGTACCGAAATGTTGATAATAAAAAAAAAATCCGATTCTAAAATGTGTATATAGAAATTTATAAATATATGTAGTTACTAAATGTAGTATAAATAGACTTGTTGTAGTTTTGTGGGTGACGTGTTTTCAATAAATAAAATTTGCGTAATGTAATGTTAGAGTAGTCGGTAAAACAGTAGTTATTTAAACCATTTCTTTCAGATCCCGTCCTACCTCACCCTCAACAAGAGCAACAAACTACTTATAATTGCGATCATGTCAGGAAACCTACACACAATATTCCAGACATATCTCGTTGCATGATGGGACACTATATATAATAGAAAAAATGTAGATTTAGTTTGTTATTTGTTCAATTATTATTTTTCTTCTTTTGTAAAAACGTTATACAATAATAATTCAATGTTTTTTTTTTCCTCGCTTTGTTTCTAGAAGGAAAACCGCGAGGATCTAATCAATTAGGAAAATTAGAATTAGTTGAGGAATTATTAAGGGAAACCCATGGTAGTTGTTTGCATCATTGGCTGGGCCATGAGTTCTAAAATAAAATAAAAATAAATAATCTTTACTGTAATTTTGGATACCGTTGATCAGCATCCAAATTTATTATTTTCCTGTGCGTTTATTAATAATATTATTTATGTAGTTACCGATACTTACGTATGATGTTCTGATTGTTAAAATTAATGTACTTTTAATATTTTTATATTAATAAATGCGTTACTTTCTATTCATATATATATATATTTCTTTTATTACAGTTTACATTTAAATATTTGATGAAATTACCTCTTCCTCCAATTTATCTCTTTCTTATATTTAAAAATGCTCGGGCCCATCTAATCCAATGCTTTTTTTATCTAAAAAAAATTAAAAGTTTACATACATGATCTTTAATATCATAATCATAAAAGAATAATTATTAAAAAAACATTAAATTAGGTACACATTTTACTTCTAATATAATGTACCTTTACTAGGCGTATTAGATCTGGAATTGCTGTGAGTGGTCAACCGTGTTGGAACTTGGTCCAAACCTTGTTCGACAAACTCAACATCGGACTGCAAGCAAACAAAATAGTCTAAAAATGTATTCAAAAATTTATAACGTTACCTCTGTGTTCATCACTAAATCCAGTTTCGGGGTATCATTGTCATCCGTTAAAACCTGAAATTAAACAAACGTGAAACAATGCTGGTCGCTGTATAAATATATGTAATTTATAAGTACTTGTCCAGCAATGCTGCTTGTACTGCGTTCTAAAGCTATATTTAAAACCCCACCGACAGCGCCTTCATCCTCTTCAATTTCAATACGGCTTTGATCGGCTTCAGCCAAATCTCCATTTTGCATTTGAGGTCCTGCTTCTTCGTTCAACGGCATTTGCATATCGTAGGGATTCATGGGAAGGCATTGTTCCATGCTGTCTCCACCTTCACTTATGTTTTCACGCATCAACCGAATCAAAGATATTTCACCGCGAAGTAAATCTTCAACTGTTTGCAGCACGTTTAACCTCACGTCTTGTACCCTATAAGCAAATTGTAAATAGTAATAACATTATTATATTTATTTATATATTACTTTTTTCCTCGATAATGTTCCAAAGCTTCAGTTAATAAAGAGGCAAAATGTTTTTGGATCAAACCATCTTTGCTGTTTGTATTAACAAATATTGCAGAAAAAGTCGATTCTACTAAAGTATCCCTCAAAGCGTGTACCAAACTGTCTGAGAAAATATCTTCATTATGATTATTCAGGAATGACAGTACTTCCGCTAAATGTTCTGGGCTATTAGTCTCAACAGCTTCTTGCTGCAACATAAAGCGAACTGTAACAATGTATTATATAATAATGATCAAGTACCAACATTTATAAGCGATTTAGGCCACATAAAATTTCCTAGGTCGAAGAATTCGCTGGCAGCTTGATTGTCGTTCTCCAAGTTTTCAGTTTCAATCGTTGGAATTTGAACCTGCCTTGTAGCTCCAGTCGATGAACCAGGCGAGTTGATTGAATTACTAATTACCGATTGGATTGACTGAAGCGTGCGTCTTCGCAGCGGATCTGAACTAATCAATTGCAGATCTCTGAATAGCTGTATCAAGAAATGCGGCCTTCCTTGGTTTGCAGATATGAGGGAAGCAACTTCTTTATAAACGTTTTCTCTCAATTCTTCAAACAATTTCGATCTAAAAATAATTACGTAATTTAATATTTATAAGATTAAATATATCATTGACAACTTACTTTGGAGAATCATTTGGTGATCGAGCATCGTCGTGCCATTCATTACGATTCCGCCGATTGGTCGGAACGGTATCTTTAAAGGTATCATGAGATTCGAAGGAAGTATTGCCGTACACATTGCTCAATGTAGAGAAGCCAGTATTACCGAAATCTAGAGGAAAATCATTTGTTTTCTGGTTTACATTTAAAACATCCGGCGGGACGGCGCTTGCTACTCCAACACTTGAATTACTACGCTGTCGAGAGACGTTAGCCCTGAACCTTCCAGGAGTATTTTCCAAAGAGACCGAACCACCAGGGACGGATTCCTGGCTCTCCGTATTTTGTTTTTGAGTCGGTTGAGAAAGTGCCAACGAGAGTCCTTGTAAACTGGTATTCGATCTATCACCGAACAAGGTGGATGCATTTTGCAAGCCTTCGGTATTCTTTGTCGATAACAAATTTTGACGGGAATAGCTAAAACAAAAACGATGTAACGCAACAAGATTAATAAAAGTCACAAAAAAAATACAAATTTTACTTAAACTCACCTCAATTTTTAAATTCAAAACAATAAAGTACATTCCGAATAATAATGGGTTGAGAGAGATAAATTAAGAAAAAAAGGATCTTTTGTTAATTAAGTTACACTGAGAATAAAATAAATATGCAAACAAAATTTTGAATCGCACAACAACAAAAAAAATAACAAGTAGAAACACGACAACGAAAAAAATAGCAAAACGAAAATCGGAAGTTGCTGCTAAAATAATACATTTTATAGCAATTTATATTAAAAAAAAATATATTGCTAAATCAAAATGAAACATATATAATTAAATTAAGTTTATAAGAATACATTGCATGTAAAATTATCAAATTGTTTTAAATTATTTTGTTTACAGTATCTGTTATTAATGAAATGATTTGGTTTAAATTAAAGCTGAAAAATAAAATGCAAAAAAAAGACGTTGAGTCTATTTGATTTCTAGGTATATGTATTTTTCATATTTTTTCTTATTATAATTGTATTCTATTACTTTTTTAGTACATATTTTTGTGTAAAAAAAATCTTTAAATTGCTATAAAATGTATGTAAAACGTATTGCAACTTACCTTCTAAAATTGTCCCAATAATTGTTGGCACGATTTCCAGGTGCAACTTGGTTGTTTAGGGCTTGGCCGTTCCAGATTTGGGTGGGCGGTGGCGGCGGATGATGCAAGACCGCGTTGTTACCGTGAGGCTGTTCTCCGCCTCCACCACCGCCACCCGCTCCGGTATTCTGATTATGATTATGGACAGCCGAGCTGTTACTGTTATTCAAAGCGCTATCTAAAATCCGTGCGTTCTGTACATTACAATGGTTTGCATGGCAAGCATGGTCCATGTTAGTTTGGGAACAATGAGCATGGTTGAGGTTCGGCATTGAAGCGCCAATTGGATTCATTTTTGGATGTTGGAAACTTGGCGACCTGTTGTACAGATTGTTTGTTCCAGATCCAGTTGGGAAAAGGTAAGGGTATTGAGTATTCGGATCAAATGGAAGATTCTGGTTACGTTCCTGCATCTGCAAAATTATCCTTGTTATAAAAGTATTTAAATATCGTATGTTATTACCATATTGACCGTGTTGCGTAATGAAGATAGTTCTCGTTGCTGAAGCCAAAGCATTTGACAACATTGATTCAAAGTGTTTAGCATAAACGCTTGTGTCTGCATATTATTAGTGGCCAACCAGTTTTGATAGTTTCCTGGATCCGATGGCGAGAACGGTGGCATTGCAGGAAAGGCGTGACCTTCTCCAGGTTGGACGACGTTGAGTGCGTTCATATTATGTGCACTGGGTGATGTATATTGTCTAGGCTCTGAATATACTGGCGATGGAGTAAGATTGTTACGAACTTGTATATTGGGTTGGCTTTCGTTAGATTGTTGATCCAACATAGAATCACAAACGCTGCGAATCAATTCCAATTGTTTTTGCATCTAAAAACAAGTTTATATCACCATAGTTGTCTTTAAAATACATATTTGTGACGTTAAAAATTTACAAAATTGTACGTGCCGAGAGTGAATCATGATTTTTAAAGAAGATATTAAAGATAATGTTGACTTGTGGTATAAACTAAGTATGGAACATTTGAATAAAGGATTTCGTGAGCCACAGTACGATACTTTCAGGAATGACAAACCCGTCATATTCAAAACTGTATCGGATTCAAATTTACGGTAATACCATAAATACCTGCTTCTTATTGGCCGCTTCTGTATTTGCATTCGATCGACTACGGTTTCTTGGATACGCAGGAGTTGCAATAGACGGACTGCGGATACTTCGATCTGAAGTGGCATGCAAATATCCAGATTCCTGCGAAACTTCAATCCTGGGCTCTTCGCTCCTCCGTTTAGTGTAATTTGAAGTGGGATATATAAGAGATGGCATCGGTTGAATGGCAGCAGGCGTGTCAGCATATTCATTCATATCATCCTCAGGACAATCATCACTGAAACTAAAGTCATTAATAAAAATATGAGCAATTACATAAGAATGTTTTACCTTGAATACCTATCATTTGCTTGGGGCATGGGATAGACATTTGAAGGAACCGGATGCCAAGAATTCGTAGATCCTTCATACAAGGGGATACTGCTTGCCCCCACATCAGATTTACTTTCACTGTTTACATCGCGATTCAAGTTCGAAGTTGCAGCTTTAGAAAAAAAAAACAACAAAATTTATGATTTGAATATTCGTAACGTGAATGAAACTTACATTTACTCATGAAAACTTCTAATTCCCTCTTCTGTTTCTCGCGCGATTGTGCTTGAAATATGTGTTCTCTCTCATTTGCATTCATCGACTTCTTATTAACCTGCTTATCCTTCACATGCCTCTCGTTTGAAGAATGCCCTTGAGACTTATTTTCAACATGTCTTGAATTAGATCGGACATCGTTCTGAATCAAATTATCGCTTTTCGAACACATGCGCCAAACTTGATCCTCGATATCAGACTCGTTAATATTTTGAGTATCCAACGAATTCTCTGTATTTTGAACTACATCCAGCATATCCTTAAGTTTCGATAGCTGATCCTTCATGTTCACAATCATTTTGACACGGCTACCCATTTCGTCTTCATCGGACTCTTCATTCATGTTCTGCAATTGAAGCACCAATTGGTCGACTTTCATTTTCTTATTTTGCAATTCCATCAATTTGCCTTGAAGTGCGTTGTGCTCTGCCTGTATTTGAGCGTCGCGATTGTCGAGCATCTGTATCAATTGATTTCGATTGTCATTGCCATCACGCATCTGTAAAATTCTACCCTGCAGAGAATCAACGTGATTTTGATATTGATCGGGTGGTGGTGCCAAAGACACTTGATTCTTAGTATTTAATGTTTTGAGTCTCTCTTCCAATTCACGATCCATGTCAGTTTGATTTTCATTATAATTCTTAGAGCTCGCACCCGAATTTGAAAACGCATCGAATCCATCTGTCGATAAACCGTTTAATGCTAACGTTAAACCATCCGTCTCCTGATTCATATTCCTTGCGACGGTGAAACCTTTCATCAGCTTTTCTTGGGCCAAGCGTGCTTCCCTCAGTTGACTCTCCACATTGAGTTGTGAATGTAGGAGAAAATTCTCCTGTTCTTTGAGCATCATCATCTCCCTTGTTGCTTCCTCCATTTTGTTTTCCAATTCCTTTTTACTTATACCTGAAGCTGCTGGTTCTAAATCGCAATTCTCTGGCAACTAAAAAAAAACAATATATTAATTATTTCTAAACTTTAAAATTTTGCAAATACGTGATTATAAACTAGTGTTTTCTGTCAAATTGAATCTAGTTATTGGAATGTTTTATATTATATTTCAGTTATATTTCAGATATGAATATTTAGAATAAATGTGATTCCATCATTAAAATCTAAACATAAAATATAATAATCATATCTAAAACAAACTTTAAAATAGGTAAATCAAATGATATCAATTTAAAATCCACTTTTATACATATAATGTAAAGCATGAATATTAGTTGAGCAAAAATAAAATCACACTAAACAATAATGAATGATTTAAAATGTTAATGCACACACACGCACACACTTTCAATCAATCACCTTTTCTATATTATTATTGTCCTCATCATCAATCTCAGACAACAACACAACTAATTTGGCCTCACTATCAAGAAGGTCTTTAACCATTTGTTCTAAATGATTTTTGTCCATTTCTTCTTCATTAGACTGAATAAAAATTGTGTTTTGTAACTTATATAATTGAATAAAAGAGAATTGTGTAACTCAATGTTTGAATTAAGTATAATTACATTAATTTAATTACCTGTTCATCAGTGTTCTTCATATTGCTCATTAGTGAAGAGGTGATCCTCAAGTATTCCTGGATCTGGCCCAATTTCGCCTCAATTTGTTTTTTGTCTGGATACTTTGCAACATTATCACATTTTGGTGCTGCCCCACATGAATTCCTCCTTGAATTTGTTGCACTTGTGTTTGGAGTTGAGGTACCATTTGCTGGTTGGATTCAAAAACGAATTATTAATATATTCTCGCAATTGGCACATGCAGCCATAATATATACAAACTAACATGTGATAGTTCCATTTTGTCTAACTGAACTCTCGGAATCCATCGGTGCAAAATACTGAGGGTTTCTACTTGGGTTCCTGTACTGTCTCGTGATGAAATTGCAGTCTCTGCCCTTTAATAAACAGATACACACGCCTTTAATTGGCTAATAATAGACACTATATTTTTAGCATAACCAAAAAACGTCAATCGCAGAGTATTATGTTAAGTGTGTTCTAAATTAAGAATATTTACAGTAGTGAAATGTTATTTATAATTGACTGACCAAATTGTTGGAGAGAACATTGGAACATCTCTCATTCTGAATGGGAGGTCTCTGTGATGTGTTTGTGATGTTCCTCTGTTTCACTTTGGGCACTGTTCCAGTGCCTTTTTTTATGTAGAGTTTTCTGTGTTCATCGGACATGGTTTTTATGCTCTAGCTGCACCGGATTCAAACAGAATTTCTCAAGAAAAGCAGTTGCCTTCAGAACTTTATTTCACAGCCACCATATGTATTCACATTTATTAAAACAATACTGCATGTACTTATTATATCTTTTTCAGAAAATTATGGTTTACTTCATACATATTAATCATATTTAATGATTAACATGTTTTTTTTTTACTATTAAAAACAAAAGAAGCCAATTTGCTTCATTCATCTGACATTTAACAAATTGCTTACAGAAACCTGTTTTATTCCTAATTAAATCCCTACATGGACGTACTGCAATAAATAATTTAATTTAAATCTATAATTGAATAAAACTACAACAAATATTCAACATTATATTCGTATTAATTAAAACATCTATTAATTGTTGATCAATATTATATAATACAATGATTCCATTCCGTACATTAAATAAGAAATATATATCTTTTGGTTACACCACTGCTGTTGTCATATTTTCAACTTAGTTGAAATTATTACCACTAGGAGAATGCATTTATATAATATTTTAAAACATTATTTTATGAATATGAATGATGAAACTGGGTTTATATCTATATGTACATCACATAGGTTAAGTTATGTGCCAATAAATCGTAAATGTATATTAATTATTGTAAATTTACTTTCTTTATTTGAAGGAGAAAAATTATTGATTGAATGAAACTGAATATGAGATTCCCGGCAACCGGCACGTCAGATTTTTAAATAAACAAGAAGTGTTAATTATGATAATAATGATGAAACTGTTGTTGTTTATGTTATTATCCCATGTGTTAGTGGATGGAAGAAAGCCAAACGTTTTATTCATAGTTGTGGATGATTTAAGGCCATCAATTAAAGTTTTTAATGATGATAATGCATATACACCTAATTTAGATATTCTGGCACAGAAAAGCTTCATATTTCATAACGCATTTGCACAAGTATTTCTACTCTATATAATAATAATTATTATAATGTAATTTTTTATTATATTATAGCAAGCACTCTGTGGTCCCAGTCGAACTTCTTTCTTAACCAGCAGAAGACCAGACAGCTTGCATTTATATGATGTCCATAGTTATTGGAGACATACAGTTGGAAACTTCACAACAATCCCACAACATTTTAAAGAGAATGGTTACATGACCCATTCAATTGGAAAAGTTTTCCATCCTGGTGTTGTATCCAATTACACAGATGATTTTCAATACAGTTGGAGCTTTAAGCCCTTCCATCCAGTCACAGACAAATACAAGAACAGCAGAGTTTGTGTTAACAGGTACGGTCATAAACAGGCAAACATTGTTTGTCCTGTCAGAATTGAAGACCAACCAAAGGAAAGTCTGCCTGACATTGAAACTTTAAATGCTGGATTGAAATTCTTGCAAAGGAAATGGTCAAAACCTTATTTTCTAGCTGTCGGATTTCAAAAGCCTCATATACCATTAAAATACCCAAGAAAATATTTAGATTATCATCCATTGAATAAAGTGACTTTACCTAAAAATAGACAGAGACCTTCAGATTTGCCAAACGTGGCTTGGAATCCATGGTTGGATGTTAAATCAAGAGATGATGTTGCTGCACTCAACATTTCATTTCCATTTGGAATGATGCCTGATAATTTTTCTTTGCTTATTAAGCAAAGCTATATGGCAGCAACAACTTATATTGATGATCTCATTGGGAAATTATTAACAGAAATAGATGATAATACTATTGTCGTAATTTTTGGAGATCATGGTAAAGTCTACATGTAGATAAACAAATTTGATAATCTTTATTTTTAAGGATTTTCTTTGGGCGAACATGGCGAATTTGCAAAATACAGTAACTTTGATGTAGCCACAAGAGTTCCCTTAATAATACACGTTCCCAAATGGACGGAAACGTTAGTACAATCTAAAGAGTTAGTCGAATTGGTTGATTTGTTTCCAACGTTAGTTGATTTGACTCAAATCTCACCAAGTTTAGATACATGTTCTGAGAAGGAAACTAAATTATGCACAGAGGGTATAAGTCTTGTACCTCATATGATTGATTTGATTAATAATAAAACTGAGAAGGTTTTGCTAATACATAAGTGATTATAAAATACAATTGAAAATCTTCTTTCAGGTGAGGAAGAGAGCAATTTTCACACAATATCCCAGACCTGGGATATATCCAAGCATTTATCCTAATAGCGATCAGCCTAAATTAACGGATATTCAAATAATGGGGTATTCGATCAGAACATCACTATTCCGGTATACAGAATGGGTTGAATTTGATAATAGTTTATTTTTACCCAACTGGTCTAAAGTATATGCTATCGAATTATATTGCCATCAGTTTGATAAGGCGGAAAATATCAATTTATCAAACAGGCCGCAAATGAAGCATATTATGAGACGTCTTAGGAAACAACTGATTCGTGGCTGGAGAGATGCAGTTGATAACTTTTGAAGATGAACACTTATAAATTTGAATTAAAAATATTTTTATTTAATTATAGTTTTTATATAAATTTATTATTAATTAATCTGTTACATAATTTTTTTCTGCAATTCACTAATTTATATGTTACATGTATGTATAAATTAATATTTGAAATTGTGAACATTTGGTTGCATAACTTGTTTGTTTATATGTATTCTTTTACATTACCTTTGAATAATGTAGTATTTGTGTCAATGATGTAATTTATGACGGATAATAGAAAACAAAGAAAAGAATCAATATATGGATTTGCTATAGATATTTGAGGATATTTTTTTATTATTGTTGTTTTGATTGGAAATTTCAAGGATATATCTTAATTAATATTAACGAGCTTTTTATATAACATATGTCCTAGTTATAACATTTATAATTGACCTTAATGATACGTAAAAAAAAAGCAAACAATTATTGAGAATATGGCAACAATGTTTGGATGTTCCACAATTTTATAATTGAAAAAGTAAGTTAATTTAAATGCATTAGGTAATGTTTGTTGGGAAAGATTGTAGTTTCCGTGGTAAAATGTATTTTAAATCTTTGGCAAAATAGCAAAATCCTATTAAAAATAGCGAAAAAAAAATCCCATCCCCACCTGCCCCCACCTTTGTTATGTCTCAAGCCAATCAGCTGATTTATGTTGTGACAGTTTGTGGGTGCACAACAGAACGGACATTCTCATCTATTTACATATTGATTTCAACGAACCATTTGCATCTAATCAGTATTTCCTAATCTAATCGTAAGAAAGGGCATTTGCAATATTATCTTTTGGAAGTTGTGTCGTCAATTTCCGAAGCGGTTGGTGCGTGCGCGAATGTATGTTGATTTTTCCTGCTCTTCTGTAATCGTACGGGTGTTTCGAAACAAACAAAAATGACGTCACGTGCAGTTTTCTGTCATTAAAAATGACGCAGTAGTTGAATTAGAAAAATGTTAAATTTCTTATAGATGAAAAGAGTTTTTCAAGCAAATTAGTTCGCAAAGTGTTTGTGCGACCATCGCCCTTGGTCTCAGCCAAAATTCATGTGCTGTCAGCTACCAGGAAGAGTCACAGACCCCTTTTGCCTTTGTCCTTCACCTTGATGCTTATTTTAATTCCACACCCTTTGTTTCACCACAACATTATATAAATAATCATTCCTTACATTATAATTACAGTTGTCCTAAAAATAAAAGAAGGTAATATTGATGCATGTTGTGAAATCAATGTAGTAAGGAGTATTTTTAGTGTCTATCTATCTTTCTT